TAGGTGAAGACTGTAGTTTAGACAAAACTCATTAGCTTTGGAGTTTTCTGTTCCACCAGACAGACTTATTTATGTCTCTTAGACTAAAATCTATACATTCCCTTTTGCTCCTAGAGTTGTGAAATAGCCCAGGCAATACTGCGTCAAACCCAGTGCTACCCGGAAAGAACATCTAGACAGTGCTTGTGTCCATTTTCAGGTTGTGACTAACTTTCTGACAACTCTGCTCTTAATACACAGGAATGTGTTAGAGCCATTAGTAATCTCGCTAAGTTCTGCAGCATGTATAGTAACAAGCTTCTGACCATGTCCATATTTGCACGTACAGTTCAAATCTCCTTCCTGAATTCCAACTGCCTATGCTGCAATGCACTTAATACCTAATGGATAGTTTAAATTCAACATGTCTAAAACTTAATCCTGAGTTTTCTCTTCTACAAAAGCGTACACTACTTACTCCCCTAGGCTCCTAGGATGCCTTTTCTATCTTCTCAGATGAGTAGAAGTTATGGGGACCTTATTTTCTCATACTTCAAAGTTAATCTTCCAGAAAACTCCAATCTACTTTCAAACACATCTATATTTAAATTCTCGTCACCGCCACTCTTCCAGGTCCCTCTTCGCTACGGGTTTTCCTGTGCACACGTGGAGCTCCAGGGAGACAAAGCAGGACTTGGATGAGTCCAAGAGTGAAGGCGTGAATGAGCCAGTTCTCAGGTCATTCTGTCCTACTCTAGAATTCAGGAAGTGGTGTTCCTGTGTGGAACATTATTTTTTAAAAATTTATAATTCGACTTACCTATTTCTAAAATCTCGATAACATTTAAAGGAACAGCCTTGATTGAAATATTTTGTGAGTATACGTTTGCTATTTTTAAACTCTCAGACTTTTTCTAATCACTTCCTAAGTGAAAACAGTCACTGTCAAAAGACTCTGATCTGCACATCCACATCCAGAGAACCTGACATGCATTGAAGCTTTAGGTTTAAAGCAGTTAAAAAATATTTATTCATTTAGAAATATTGTTGGTTTTCCTAAAACTGTCATAATAAAACACCATAAACCAACTGAGGTCTACAACAGAAGTTTATTTTCATATAATTCTGGAGCACAAGGTCAAGATGTCGGCTGGTTGATTTCATCTGGAGCCTCCTCTCCTTGGCTTGTCAATGGGCACCTTCTCTCTGGGTCTTCAGATGGTTTTCTCTCTATGCCTGGGTCCTCATTTCCTTTCCTTGTAAGGACACAGGTTACGTTGGAGAAGGACCCAATCACATGACCTCATTCTGTTGTCATCACTTCTTTGAAGGCCCTGTCTCCAACAGCCACCTTCTGAGGTCCTGGCAATGAGGACTTCAATATATGAGTTTCTGAGAACATGGTCCTCTCATAGCATCCCCTGTCACAAGTGTCATGTTCACCCAGGAAACTGGTGCAGATGCTAAAGAGTGAGTCTGAGCCACCACCTGGCACATCTAGATTTCAGAATAAGGTTGGACTTCAGGGCCCAGACAGGACAGCCCTCTCCTGTAGGTATCCTTTCCTCTGTGTTTTGATCTCAGTCAAGCAGATGAGGAAAGTGCTTATGTCTGCATCTTTCTTGACCACAGCCTAAAAACACATTCAAAAACGAGGCAAGAAAGTTGCAATGGCAGTTAGTCATAGTCTTCTGAAGACGCAGTCATGATATAGGAGAAATTTAGCTTCCAACTTGCTAGATGTCAGGTGTGCAGAGTTCATGTCCCCCAAAACTGAAGAATAAACTCCAAGGAACAATGGAGCTTACGAGTAGGAAAAGTTTATTGAGAGATAGCTCCTGAAAGACAGGAGGGGTCCCAAAAGTGGGTGGCCACAGATGCTTTTTGTCAGGGGTAATTCATACAGCCAAGGCACAGTGTGGATTCAACGTGGGTCAACCTATAGAATTGAAACTACAGTCAACCTATAGGATTATAAGTAGAGCTGCTTAGCTAATTTTGATCCAATAGGGAAGCTTGGCATGTGCAAGGGTATATTGCTACATACATCTCTATCTATGACTTCTAAAACAGAAACATTGCTAATTTCTTTTCACCTTGTCTGAAATTCTTATTGTTTATATTGTTTTTATGTTGCTTTGTTTATGTCTCTGTGTTTTCTGATATGTTTTGGTTCTTTTATCTCTAAAACTAATATAAAATAAAAATAAAACAAAAACATTTTAAGGAAGGGATGGGTCCAGATGTTCTGGTCACCCACCCGGGCAACTGATGCCTATCTGAGCTAACTGGACTAGGTGGTGCTCATATAATATAATCTCAAATTATTGTTTATCTCTTAGGGAGAGACATGTAGGCCTGGCCATTGCATCTTTACCTTGAAGTCTGGCCTTATTCACATGCACCTCTGGCTACGATTCTGATGTCTTTGTTTTTTTCTGCTGACTTCCTTAGGAGCCCAGTCCCTCCCTGACTGTATCATTATTTCTATCTAACTCAGTTGTCTATCATGGTAAGAAAGGCTCTACTCTGTACTTGTACAAACTGACTATGGTGTTAATCATATTTTTCAATTTTATACATAGAATAATTCAGTAAATAATGCACAAAAAAAATCAAGAGCATTTTCATTTGTCAAAGTAGTCTTTACTTTGTTAAGCAAAAGATCTAGAAAGGCTTTGTAGTTGGGGATAATAGCCAAACTCCAAGTAGGAGGAAACAGTTATAATTTTAAAAAACTGCTAATTGAAGCTTTGAGTGCCTGTCAGTGTTCTGGTGATTTTGGTGCTGAAATCTGCTTTCCTTTATTTTCTTCTTCAGTGGTGTTCACCATGGCAACTTTAATAAAAGTCCCCTCACAAATGTTTTCCTTCCCAAGTGCCAAGCACCTGTTTAAAGAAGAAGGCTGACAACCTGGTAGGAGTGGGTGTTTGGAAAATAAATGGAAAGGGTTCTGCGTTTTGCTGTGGGTGGCAGGAGGGGAGGAAATCATTGAGAAGATAAAGGTTGGGGGAGGAAAACTTGTACCTTGTTTGGGATAAAATTAATTTGATTTTAGAGGTAGGAAATTAATTTAAAATATTCCAAAGAAACTTCCTTTTGGTAAAATTTCTATATTTCTTATTTTAAAGTTTAGACAAGCTTTGTTCCTGCCACCTCACAGATGACTCTGGAGGATGGGTTCGTACATGCTGGTTTAGCCCCAACCGGATAGCCAGTCAATTCTCCTTGGGTCCAAGTGCAACTTTCTTGGGATCACACTGCAAAACTTATGTGGGACTCTGCTGGCTCTATCAAATGTCCCACAGTTCCTTCCCGTCCTTTCTCATTAACTTCTGGAGGTGAAGGGACCCCAGAAGTTTTCAGACTTAGTCACACATGGAGATCTTTAGAAAATGCCAATGCCAGGAATTTTAGTAGATTGTAGTTTAACGGGTCTGGGGTGACAACTGGATTTAGAGGTTATTTTAAGCAGACAAGTCTGACTGGAGTGAAGTATCACTGTATTTACTGGTCTAAGTGGTCTGCTTCCAATCGTCCCATTCCAAGGCATTTATCTACAAATTGATGTCAGTGGGCATTGTCTCTGATACACATATAAATTAAGTACCTTTGCTTCGAATTTATCTATCTTTCAATGCAGGATTGAAGAAAGAAAGGTGTTAGCTTTTTAATTTTGTTTACCCCACTCCATGTTTAGAGTAAATCCCTAAACTCATGTTAGAGTTCATTGCAGAAGTAATGATTTTCCTTGCAAAACACATTGGTTTTCCTGCAGTTTTATTGGTCAAAGGTTGATTAAAAGACTCACTAGATTCCATATTTTTTATATGTGTGGAAATGGCCAAGATAGAGCCAACGGTAGGATTCTCAGATGACTATAAAAACTTTTCATCAAGTGGACGATTTTTCTCTTTAAAATAGCGGTTCTCATCTTTGATAGCACCACATCAGAATTACTTAGGAAGGTTCAATACGCCTCATATCCAGGCTACAAATTAGAATTGCTACACCAGGAACAAAGTTTTGTTCTGTTTTTTTTTTTAATTTCTCAGCAATTTTCTGAAAATCTTGAGCCAGTGATGAGAACTGCTGGGTCTAGAATGGAACTGTGTGGGCAAACTGTGTCGACGGACTGGCCAACACCGAAACACCAAGAGTGAGTTCGCCAGCACCCAGACGGGAACTCGCACCACCCTCCCCCCAGTGGAGATCACTGAGTGAGAAGATTATTCCCCTTTCATTCAAATTTCCATAGTGAGGGATGTTGACTGTCCTTTGAAATGTTCTGAAGTGCTAGACTATGATCATTTCTTTTGAAGATGGCAAATGAAATGTTTCATTCTTAAGTTGATGAATAAAATCTAGGCCGTACACTGTTCTGGCAATGACTGAAATAACAAATAAAAGACAAACAAAACAGCAAAATTTTAGGATATGAATTTGACAGACCAAATTAGAACTCAGGAAGACTTGGTGAAGTGCACCTGTGACATTTCTGGTGGACTTGGTCCTGGTAAATAAACAGACATTTCAGCCAGATCCAAAGCCTGATACTGTAGTATCAAATGTGTGCTCAATTGTCATTCTGCAGCTTGGTTCTAGAATCTCCCCAAAGCCTATAAATCATTATCAAACAAGAAAATCTAGTAATCAAGCTCTCTGCCCTGAATCTGATCTATATCTACCTTCAGCATAAAATAGTATTCTCACATATGGATAGTTAAACTCTGAAATAATGAACTTGGATCAAGGAAATGATTTGCTAATGCTTTTACAAACATAGGGCGATTTCCTCCCACTCACATACGCCAAATCCACTTGATTTCAGTGGCTCGGACAGAAAACCAAAGCCAATATTCGTGGAAAAGAATGATAAAAATATTAGAAGGAGCAAGTTTGAAACAGTCTCCTTCACATATTATATCTGAGCTCTTTTTCATGATATGATTCCATAGCACACTGCAAAATTTGATAATTTATAATTATTAATCCTTAAAATCACACAAAACAAGCAATTGTTTAGAATGAAATAATTGGTTTAATATTCATAAACTGGGGAGAGAAGCTGAATTAGAAGCCAGTGGGGATTTGAATTAACACTGCCTGAATATAGAAAGAGCTCTACTTATGTTCACCAATTACTTTTATTAATATACATAGGTAAAGTATATTTGTTCTACCTGACAGACTTGTTTTCATGGACCCTTTTGGGATTAAACTTATTTTGGTTAGTTGGCTGGGCATGATACGGGTTGAACACCCTTCAGTTCCAGGGCCTTGGCAAAGTTAATTTCCAGTGGTTTGCCCGTGCCTTTGGTGAGCCTCAGGGATCGGATGCAGCCTCGGAATCTGACGTTGGTGGTCAGGCCAAACTGGTTGAGGTCATCTGAAAAGATAAAGGGAGAATATCAGGGCTTCCTGCATGCCAGGCAAGTGTTCTACCACCAAGCTACACCTCAGCCCCGGAGGCCTTGGTCTTGAAATGCTGCTGTATAATGCGTTAAGAGTGCTTTTCATAGCCAGCTGTTAGCTTGAGATTAAATTGGAACACTGTCTTATATGAAGTTAGTGATATTGCTTTGAGCTTTACTAACAGATTTGTAGCAAAACATCAAATTTTTAATAGTTATTATGAAAAGTGAAAACCCCTGGAATGATGAATTGTAAGAACAAACATATAATTTAGTTGGGAATGAACATATTTAAAACTATGACTAAAAAGTTTAAAATTATATTTAATGCAACAAGGCTACTGATCAAATGCTTCAGATGTTGAATTAGGATGTGGGTTTTTAAAGTGGCTTTATCACTTTCTTATAGTGAAAAAATAAATCCCAAAATGCTAGATTGGTTGGAAGCGCACATAAAATTTCCTTGCTTTTATGAAGGAGAGCCATCTGTCCGTGGGCCCAGGAGGTGCTAACCGGGATCTCATTCCATATATCTTGCATGGGTAAGTACACTGTCTCCTTCACAATATCAAAGAGGTTTATCCTGATTGAAGAAGGAAGACTTTTTGAAATCTACAAGCAACTTTGGACACTGGCTGTCTCCACTGCCCTCATTACTTCTCTGTCTGTCCCTCTGTCAACCACTCCTGAGTCCTTCCGATGGTACTTGTTTTGTTAAGCAGCACAGCCCTGCATACATAGGCAAAAGCCGGGCAAGGTGGCACACACCTGTAATCCCAGCACTTGGAAGGCTGAAGTGCTGGAAGGCTGAGGCAGGAGGATCACTGTGAGTTAAGTGAGCTCAAGGCCAGCCTGAACTGCATAGTGAGACTCTGTCTCAATAAATAAATAAATAATAGAGACAAAATTTCCTCTTGCCAAAATGATGAAAGACCAGGCCCATCGTCTGTGGGCGGCAGTACTTATTAACAAGTACTGGACTTGTTTCTTCTCCAGTGGACAGTCTGGTGCTTCTGGTAACTGTCTGGTTTGTATGTGATACATATGTGTGAGAGAAGGATTTTGAATACAGCTTTATTGCTTGGGTTTTTGTAACATAAAGTCTTTATTAACCTAAGGAGGAAATTAGCTACATTTAACCCAATGATTTCCAGAACTGGAGGAAATAAGTTCCACAATACTTTATGATCCCTCTGGTATATTCATTTTAAAAAATCAGAACGAACACCAACTCTGGCCTCAACGGCTGTTTAATGCCTCATATCTTATATAAGCCACATTCATTTCCTCTAGCCTTCTCCTTCCCCTGGACAAGGCCTTGCAGGCTAGCATAAAAAGTTCAGTCCCATGTGGTTTGTATAAGTAGTTCACTCATTTCACAGACTGGGAAATTTTAGGCAAAATGTTATTTAGGAGAGGAGATTCTAAAGTTAGGGGGCGTGTACATATGAGCACACATTCTTGGACATGTTTATATAAATATAAATGCTTCAAAATCACAAACATAACCAGCGATGAACTTCATGTTGGAGAAGCCAACACTTGCCTGGGAAACCTCCAACGAACACAGGGTCATTGGTATCAGCTGATGTAGATGCTGGGTTAGGGCTCTGGGCCTCCACCTGGTTCCCATCGACAGTGAGCTCAAGGCGGTGTTTGATCTTGTTCGCAGTGACTTTATGCCACTGCCCGTCACACAAATGCCCTGGGATCCCAGCATCGTAGACAGCAGTGAAACGACCGGCGCCATTGTCCACATGAAACATAAGCTGGAGAGGAGGAAATTGCACAGGCACAGATGGTTTCATTAGAGGATTGTCATGATGGTTCACATAATAAAAATTACCAGGTCACCGGGCAAAGAGTCATTTGAAGTGAATGTAACTAAGGCATATGAATTTTTTAAAAAGAAAATGACATAAATTAAAATTTAAATGTAATCACTGAAAGTCACAAATTATGTCCTTTGTTTTTAGCCATTGTTTGTATTAATATGCAAGGCGTGTAAAGCTGGTTCTGCTTTCAAAACTATCTCAGGTTAGGCAACAAAAAGAAACGACGCTAATACACACAGCAAAATTCCACCACCTATCTTTGTAGAGTGGGAGAGCTCTCAGGGAATCTTATAAAACTTCAAAAAGATGTTATTTAAAGTGATTCATTAGTTTGGGTTATAAATGCTAAGGAATTTTTAAAATTTAAAATGTTGATGTTTTACTTGTGTTTTGTTTTTCTTACTAGATTCCATTTTATGCCAAGATTGTGAGTTACATAAATTACTGTTTTGGGCATGTTTCATGTCACAAGTGCCAAAGACCCAAGCCAGAGGCCAGTTAAATGCCTAACAATGAAGAACTCTGAATAGAAGTCCTCCTGTAAATTAGAAAAGTCTGTTTTCAGTAATATGGAAAGCCTCCTGCAATTTGAGGTATGAGAATTCTTTTGAAGTTGATGAAGAAAAGAAACACTCAAATATTAAAAACATTAGTCAATTTGGCAACACATTTGACAAGGTAAAAAAAAAATAGGGTTTCTAATAAGGACTAGCAGTGCAAATAAATATGTATATTTTATAAACATTTCAATTATTTATTTGCACTTCTAGTCGTTTCCACACACAGTGATGTAAATATTAGGGAAGCGTGTAGTATGCGGAGTGGAGTTCATGGCAGGACTTTGCATGTGGAAGAGGCTTGGTGAGGAACCGCAGGACAGAGTGACATGTTCATAACAACTATGGAGGTAAGTAGGTGAAGAAGGGAAGCTTACTTGAAAAGGTGTACTGAAAATTTGAGAAAACTAGTAAATGTTGCTTATTGTTCTCTCCCCTCATCCCATAAAGTCCTGGAGTGATTTTTCTACATTGTCCTTGAGGACATTGTGAAGGCTGATGGGAGGAGGAGCGAGGGAAGCGTATTTTAGGTCCCTGTGTAAGTTTTCTTCCTGGGAGGCAACAGCACCCAAAGGGTGGAAACGGGAACAGAGCTGGAGTGTAATTCCTATTTATATTTTTGTCTTTTTGAGACAGGGCTCACTCTGCAGTTCAGGCTGGCCTTGGGCTCACTTTGTAGCCCAGTCTGGCCTCGAACTTGCAACGATCCTCCTGCCTCAGCCTCCCCAGTGCTAGGATTACAGGAGTGTGCCACTATGCCTGGCTGTAATTCCTATTTAATTGCCAAAAAGGAAACTTGTGAGCTCTCCTGCTTTGCCTGGTGTCTGAGGTACAAAGTATTTGTAAGCAGGTCATTTCACTGCAGGTCGCTGCTCATGGGAAGGCCGGGAGTAAAAATGTATGTGGAACTAGATTATCCATTGCAAACAAAAACGCTTTTATACATTTGCTTTAAAAAAATTTTCATACTTTTAAATAAGCATTGAGAGGCTATGTGCTAGCAGGCCACCTTGACTTCTGAGATGCTCAACCCAGTAGCAGAGACAGACTAACTTTTTGTCTCATACTGCTTACTGGTGATCAAGAATGAGAAATTTCATAAATGTAAAAGTTAATGCCATTCTCACAGCTTGTTATTCATTTCTTTGCTTTGCATGCGTACTTCCCTACTCCCTGCCATAGAACTTAACATCTGGTAAAACACTCCTATTTGACTCATCATAAAACAGCACTCTAAAAAGTATTAAATTGGGCTGTCATGGGTCTAACAGTGATAGCGCAGTTATTCCAGGTACCTGTACAGCTAATACTATTCATTATTGCTATGAATGCAGCCGTGCTTTCCCTCAAGAGTACACTCCAACGTTCATACTGAACCCTCAGAACAAAGTACGAGCTGTGTCTTTTGTGACATCTTTGGTGAAAGATGCCAGCCCCACACGCACATCCACGGGAAGGCCTGGGACACCTCCTCAGGGCTGTCACCTCAGGGACAGCACCTTTCATTCCCTTGTTCCAGGCATGGTGTATGCTCCGTGTGCTTTCTTAAAGATAATTCAGAAGGCAAAACATATTTGTCAATAAAATAAATCACCTTCCAGACACACACAGAGGTCAGTTCAAAGAACAAGTATTGCTCACTCAGGACAGTTTTTTCTTTTGAAGATAAGGAGCTTCAAAAACATCATTTCTTAACTAGAGTACTGCTGACACACTGATTTTCCAGGATCTGAATCCCTTCCTTTTCTTTCTCTGGAATGAACAGCTTCAGAGACCGTGTGCTCACAAGGAGCAGCTTAACTGTGTATCTAAAACAGTTTAGTCTGTTATGAGTTAACACAAGGGTCTGGCTGTAGGAGTAATGCATTTCAAGTTTGTGCTGGCCCATACAACACTTGTGATGAAAATATACGCAAATTGAGAAAGCCCAAAAGCATGGAAAGATACAATTTAGCTTTTTTTCCTAACCAAAACAAGCAAGACTTCAAAACACATTTGTCTACCCATGAAAAACGCCACCACGAAGAAATTAGAGCTGTCTGGTGCCCACACTCACCTGGCCATCAACCATCTCGAGGCCCATCCCGTCCATTTTCTGACTGCTAATCCCCAGCAGAACCCCCGTGGTTCTGGTTGTACGGAATTCAAGTTCCACCAGAAGGTCCAATCCCACTTTGAATCCACCAACTGTAAAAGGGAGATTTTAAAAAAATGTACAGAGTACGGTGCAGCAATGATTAATTTCAAGCTGTGTGACTCAGTGGCTGTATTAAATTTCAATTCATGGTAACCAATTCTGATGAAAGCTGTATTTTCTAGACACCCAAAGGCCTATACAGTTCCACCTTGGTGTCAGTGACACACATTGCAGCTGTTGCCGATTTTCTTGGTTGCTTGCCCTTCTAGTCTATAATTTCTGTGAGGGCAGGGACCTTTGCTCAGCATTTTACTCCTATACTCATCAGAGTATCTGGCGCACAGTGTGGGTTGCACAGATATTCGTAGAATGAATGAATGAATGCACACTGAGGTTGACTCAAAGAACCTCAAAGCCAAGTAAGATGATTTTAAAGTTCTTTGTTAGATGACATAAAACATTTCGAGGATTATTCATAAAATTTTATTAAGGCACTCCAAGTGGTTCAAAGGCTTCTAAATATTTTATTAATAAAGAAAAATGGCAAATAAAATTTTGATGGGAAGATTTTGGGACACAAATGGATTTTTCTCATTCATCCAGTTAATTCTTTTCTTCATAATTTTCCATATTTGATTCACTGATTTATTTAACCTTTTACAAGTGGTTTGGATATTGCTTTCATGAAGAAAGTGGCTTATTGAGATCAGTCCAGACCACACGAACTATATGGAGTATTAGGAAAGAACTCGTGGGAGTATTCTTCTTGTTTTCTGTTTCTTAGGGAAGAAATAAACGTTCTGTGTAACTGCAATTGCCTCCAGTGAAGGGTGGTACCTGTTATGTGAAAGACTTTTTGTTCTACTGAGAATCTTGATGGGTTTGGATGGGCAAAGGTGAATGTAGAGCAGATTTTTAAAGTAAAGGGTAGAAAAGGCTGAACTGTTTTGCAAAATAAGAGAGAGGGAGAAGGAGAAGACAGGAATGACGTGAGGAAGTTCAGCTGAGGACACAGGAACGGAAAGGCCAATGAGAGTTGCCAAGACTGGGTGTCTGGAAAGCTTTTAACAGCAAAGATGTCAACAGTTAACTTGAAGTTGTGTATTTTCCAGTGAAGCAATCTCTGAACACCAAGCTTGAAGTGAGTTGTGCTACTCGGTGTGTTGAGAAGATGGTAGAAATAGTTGGAAACTGGGGAAAAATTGATCCAAAACCCAAAGAAACCAGAAGTGTGGCAAATCAGTCCATAGCTACAGAAGCTGAGGCCGAAGCAGGTTGTCAACTTCAACGAAGAGAACACCAGCCGTCAGTGACTCTGCACAAGTCTTGGGGAAGTCTTTGGGCTTTCACAGCACGTGAAATCTGGGGTTCAATGTAACTTCCAGTTTTAAGCATGGAGCATATCCTGTGCTCTTCTAGCTTCTCCTTTTGCATAGTGAGGTTTCCCACACAGACCCTGAGTCATCCTAACCTTCCACATGAGGGTTACAGTCGTCTTCTAAGTCTTTGCTCAAATACCAATTATCTTATGAAACCTTCCTCTATTTCACAACCAAAATTAATCTTTCTTCTAAATATCTATAACACTGCTTGCCTGTATTTTTAGATTTTAATAATTTTACCTGCTATCTTGTAATTTCTGAGCAAATTGAATCTCTTATCTACTTTCTATCTATCATCTATGTTATCTATCATCTATCATCTATCTGTCATCTATCCTTATCTATCTATCTATCTATCTATCTATCTATCTATCATCTAACATCTCTTGTACTGGGGATTGAATGCTGGAAGCACTGAACTACATCCCTAGCACTTTTCATTTTATTTGGAGACAGAGTCCTGTTATGTTGCTGAAGTTGGCCTTGAACTTGCTCTCTTCTTGACTTGGCCTCCTGAGTAACTGGCATTATAGATGTGTATCACTCCTTCTGTCTTGACCATATATTTTTAAGGGAAGACACTCCATCTTATTTATCTCTCTGTTTCCCATAATAACTTCCACATATGCTTTTTAAGTTTTTTCTAGTTGTTCACTAGAAAAAATACAAACATCTATGAAAATTATGCCATTGGATATTCTATCTTAAAGTTTGTTAATGTCAGATTTTGTTGTTGTTAAGCAAGGTTAGTTCGAATTTTTCTTTCTAAACTGCATGTGCATGACCAGTGATCACCTACACTGGAAATGAGGTATGGGGGATACTTAAAGGAAGCCAAGGAAAGTCATCATTCATCAATAAGAAATTGATGGGGCTGGGGGTTTAGCTCAGCAGCACAGCACCTGCCTGGCAAACGCAAGGTCATAAGTTTGATTCCTGGTACCAGGAAAAAAAAAAAAAAAAGAAAAAAAGAAATTGGTACCAGTACATATGCAGTGTGGCAATGTGTGTGTGTGTGTGTGTGTGTGTGTGTGTGTGTGAGAGAGAGAGAGAGAGAGAGAGAGAGAGAGATATGAAATGGATCCTTACAAGGAACTGAGGAGGGAGAAAACATAATGGTATCTTATACTCAGGAAGGTAGCCAGGGAAAACTGGAAAGTAGAAAAACATTAGAGTATAAACATATGAGCTTTCTTGCAGAGCTACATTTGTTTTGATGTTATTGAGCTCTAGTGAAGAAATGGAATAAACTCTCCAAATAGCTTTTTACTTTATCATTTATCATCAGAACAAAAATACTTGAATTTTAGGAGACAATTTTATTACTTCTAGGAGCTCATTTCTGATTTAAACAGAGAATACTAGCTTAGGACTCTGAGATTTTTATATTTCGGTATAGGTAAGAGGTTAGGATGTATGCATAGGTAATATTCAACAGGAGGAGATGCAAGAGCCTCACCTGCTTTGGCAAAACCTGTCCCATCAAAGTAGGTTCCTCTCTGAGCATTCACAAAGCACGTCCCCACATGGAAGCTGGAAGTCGGCTGCTCAATGTCAGCAGGGGCCTCTTCCATGCGCAGGTTCCTTATGCAGCCGTCAATGCTGTAGGTCACCTAAATATTTGGTCAGTGGGAACAGATGGAAAGTTTTAGCTAAACTTTGTCTTTATGCAACTTAAACATCTCGAAGGTGCTCTATGCATGGAACCATGGCCAGTTGTCTTAGAAAATCCCTCAGAACTGCCTGGGCCTGTTCAGGGCTTCACAGCACGGGTGCCAAAAATCCGACGTTGTGCTTCTCGAGTTGGATGCATGTGGACAAGAACCTGATCATCTGATACGCTAAGTACTGCACATTGTCCGTAGTGTGCTGATTTGTTGAACAGAGATGTGGACTCCAGCTGGGCACCATAATTTTTGATGAGTCTCCTAAGTTCCTCATTTCATGTTTCTATTAATGATTTATTAACCCTACTATACATACATTTTGTTCTAAGTTATGTGCAGTTTCTATGTGATAGGTAATTAGGGCTGGTTCAGTGATTCTTTCTTTTGAAAATCTAATGAAAGCAGTGGGCTCACAAACACACATATACACATAAAACTTCAGAGTCTACACAAAACATGTGGGGCTCAAGGAATTTAGAAATAATTCAATCATACTCTGCTCCATTATGTTTTATGTGGTTTTAGGAATTCAAGTTAGTCACTTTGGCTAATGTCACTTCAGAGACTCATTTTTTATAGATCCAGGTAGCATATTCACTAGCCAAGAAAGGAAGGTAATTTGGATCACTCATAAGAGAAACTAAAAGCTAAGCATTATACCTCTAATGCGAAGTGGTCTTTGATGGATGAACAAATCTACATTATCATGTGCTCTAATTTGATAATAGAAATGTAATGTACCATATTTGTATCTAGTACTCTAAAAACAAGAATTACCTGTACTTTTCAAAATAACCTCTTTCCAAGCAAATCAGGACGTGTAGTCTGACAAATAATTATCTTGTGAATATTGATTTAAAAAACTGTGAGGGCTTTAAATTCTGAACCTGAAATTGTGTAAGTGTCCTTTAAACACTGCCTCTCTCAAATGCTGCCAAATCTCTAGTCTTGAAATGACACCAGGAACAGCAATTATCATCCTCATCCCCGTCCAGTTTTTTCTACATATCTGATGTCTTTCCAAGCTATTTTAATATATTACTTTGTTTAATCTTTACAGCAACTCTGATATTACCATTGCCTATTTTGCAAAAGAGGGAACTTTGTTAAAGAAAAAGCAAGTAATGTTCTCAGTGTTAACACAGCCAGGGAAGAGTTATGCAGATATCCGATCCAACACTGCAAGGCTCCAAGGTCTACACCTAGAGTTACTATCATCTCTCGTAGTCAAATCTTCCTTGAAAACTTTCTGCACATTCTCAGAAAAGATGATTCCCCACTTACCAAAGTGATCCTGAGCCCATTGGATCTAACAATTTAAAAACTACATACACCAATAAATGACTCAACTAAACATTTAGCCACTGAGTAAAAAGAGACACTTACTGGACCAATTCTTCGAGTAGTATAGTTGATAGGCAACCCACCAACGTACAGCATTCCCACAACATCCAGGATGTCCGCTTTCTTGGGACTGGTGGTTCTGTTGGAAGCATCATCTACATAAAGAATTCCCTCTTGCTTATTTCTCAAAATCTTAATCTGCAAAAATGAAGAGAAGTCATTAATTCTACCCTCGAACAAATTTCACATATGCAGAGTGGAAGACATAACTTTTATGATAGCTCAAAGAACAGTGTAATAATTGATGCGATAAGCCCATAATACAAGTGAAAGTAAACCCAGCTCATGCAGTTTTTCAAAGTCTGTGTTTTCCAGCAGTACCACCTCCAAAAGAATACAACATTTCTGAGGTAGGTTTTAGATTGAAGTTGCTTCTAGAGGTTGCCATATGTTTCAGTAGACAGACATGCCTCAAGGACATTTGCAGACTGATGGATCTGCCAGGAATGAAGCAGACTGCAGATTGCTTGTCTACTTTTAAGAATGGTTTTATTTCATTGAGAATGGCCTGGGCTCCAGACACAACTTCAGCTGTGCCACACCCCTCCTGCCCAATTGGCCCTTCTTGTGCAGAACTGGAGAAAGAGCTTTTTGGAAGGGAACACTCATATTTCCACTGCAGCTGATCAGTACCAAGTCGGGGAGGAAGACAGAAACCTGACTGATGCTGAAATTATGACAGTAGAGTGGGTTACCATAAGGGACAGAGGGAAAGGAGGAGTGTGCAGTTGGGATTGAGCATAAAATCCTCAAGGCTTAATTTAGCAGAAGAAGCATGAGACCTGTGATACACTGGCCCCAGATGATAGTTTAATAAGGGGTCTGCCTCATCATGAGAGTAATTTAACACCTCATTTTACACATGTCTATTCTGGTTTTGGAAGTGATTTATAAAAACCATCAAAAATAAAAGCCATCCTTAATTTGACTAATTATTGTACTTAAGTTCCCTTTCTTAAGCTCAGCCTCACTGTGGCCTGATGATCTGTCCTTTGCTCAAGTGTCATATTTATTATCCCATTAGCCAGAGATGAGAATAGAGCTTCATGAGAGAGAGTTCCTTCATTAGGATCAGTCCTTGCTCATCATAAGCCCCCAAGTAAACATAAAGATTCCATTTCGTATTTCCCAGGTAATACATGGGCTGACTTGGAGTGTGTATTGTATTTTTTTAGCTCTTTTGGTTTCTATAGGGTAGAACAAGTCAAAGTAGGTTAGTACATCCAATCCAGCATCTAATAATATCATCCCCTGAAAATTAAACATTTTATTGGTCTACCTAGGGAAACTTTACTTTATAGGCTACAACAGGTGCAGAGGCAAATTTTCCGTTTTTGCTTTAATCAGGTAATATATTATCTATTTGCAGTCATGCCAAACAGGATGGGAAGCTGGCAAATGAGCCTTCTGTGCCTGTAACATCGCCAGTTTCTGGGTGTAAGGCCAACGTTTTAAAGTTGTTCCAAATGACTGTTGGAGGAAATGGTACATTGGAGCCTTTTAAACATGATATTGCAGAGATTCCCAGACTCTTGGTGTCCAAACCAGTAGGGTAGGGGCTAGGTCTCCCCTTGGTCCTGCCAACTTTTACTTTTGCCAAATATTACTTCCTTAAAGAGAGACTAATAGCAGCCCACATATAGGAACAGACAATCTCAGAATAAATACTGCTATAAATTGAATACCCAGAGCTTTGTGATTAACTACTCTGTAGTGCCATCATGCTCACTTGGAGCACTGGAAATGTCTTCCACTGCCTAGCTCTAGTTTGTGGGCAGATATTTGGGAAGCACAGCTGTGTGACAATGACAGAACCCTGTAGTACATGCAAACACCAAATACAAACCAAGCCAGGTCTGATCACATTTTCCAAGGTTGTAGCAGTTATGTATGGTGCTCTCTGCATTTTCAGCCTCTGCCACATTTCGGCAGCAACAGCAGCAGCAGCAGCAGTAGCATTAGTGTCTACACTAGCACCACAGTGGAGACATTAGGGCTGGGGTTACCACTGGAAGCCCTCCTTAGGGTGCTAAGAATGGCCCAGGTACTGTTACCTTGTGCCACTGGCCATCGTTGATTTTGGTGGGGATCATAGTGCTGGTGTCCCCACTCCCCAGGTCATAGCGGAAGTATGGCAGTCCTTCTTTCAGCTGAACAGTAGCGAAGTCAGCATGATTGATCCGGGCCATGTAAAAAAGCAAGCCTGATTCTGCTTCAGTTCGCACTTCCAACTCAATTGTGAGGCTACAAAATATAAGCACACAAGGAAAAGAGAAAAATGATAGAGTTCTTATGCTAAGACAGACTGGTGTCAAGTCATGGGTGCATTCTTATGAAGGAGGTGATTTCCTATACTGGGCTCTTGAGGGCCAGACAAATAAAATTCTATTCTCGACTGTACTCTGTGAATTAAAATAAATACATATTAAACCCTGACTTTGCAAATTAACAAATGCAGTCCTTTAAACTTGATTAAATATGATACTCAGTATTTCCCTTACCCATTCTTGTGCAGTGTCCTTGAATGATACTTACCGGTTTTTAACTTTGGTGTCATCGAATGCAATTGCAACATGACTGTTTCTGGAAAGCCCAAACTGCTTGCTCCCCATCAAAAGAGCTGGTTGTGATTCTGCAGCACAAGGACCCTGAAAAATATGAAGGGGAGAAGGACAGGACATTATGGATTCTGTTCTATAAATAGGTAACGCTGCTATTTAATTGTTCCTTATGTATTACCTTAATGCCTTGAATAATCTTAAATTCCTGAAAAATAAAAGCTCTCTTATTCATCTCCGTAATCTATAACATAGCAGGTACTTATTATTAAGTGCTTAGTGAATATGAATCAGTTTTCTTGCATTATACCCCTGAATTGCTAAATGAGTATGCTCAACAATTTATTGATTAATTCATATTTTCCCTATCCTCTAAGGAAAAGCATTATTTAGATTTCTGAGAAAACTGCAATTTCTTCTTCACATTTATTTCACTTGTAGTTTTAGTCCTAGAAAACGGAACAGGGAAAATGACAAGTTAGCCACCTGGATTCTAAGACCAGAAAAACATGTTCCTTCTTATCCTTCCATTTCCATCTCCCACAATTACTTTTCCTTGAAAATTATCGGTCCACTAGAAGGCGGCCATGAATTTAGTCTTTCAAGATGGTGTATCTCAACCTGTAAGTCAGCCCCTTCAGGTCCTTAGCCAGTTGCTAGGCAACCTAGCACATTTTTTAATGCAACCTACCATACACCATTTGCACTGCTATTATTCAAAGATCAGCTTCCTAGGGTGCTTAAGAGGGCAGCTGGTACACGGCTGTGTAGTCACTTGCTTTAATGCTCTGCTGTCACCATTTTGAAATGCTTAGTAATTTTTGATCAGAGGCCCCTGCCCTTTCATTCTCCACTGTGCTTTTTAAATAACATAACTAATCCTGCTTCCTTGGACCACATTTGGCAACTTTTATGCACAACTCAATAATCAAGGCTCCTTAAATGACCAAAGCCACAACTCCTTTTTCTGTTCTCTATTTTTATAAGACAGCTCAATATACAGGAGGCTTGCGAAGTCGTTTAGCATATGCATGGGTAAATCAATAACCTGCACACTCAAAACAACACATCTGTTTTTAAGATCCATGCACAAAAGCTCTGGAGGGGCCACTGTCCCAGTGAGCACTGACTCAGTAGAGGTTCCACATGGCCCACAGCTGCTTTTGATGCCCTGGGTTCTTCCCAAATAGTGTTTCTCCATGATGACTCAACAGCAGGAAATCTGCACTTGAGGGAAAGCCTTGCTCTCTTTTCTCTCGAGCTTAGTCAATTGCAATGCTCTGCCACAGCAGGTAAAGGGCTTGAAGTGTTTTGAAATGCCATGAAATTGGTCTTCTCAGAAGTATTTCCCTTCTGTCTCCCAGGAGATGGTCAGCTGTAAATGGCAGACTATGGTGGAAACTCACACAGCTATGCAAAAACCAGTGAAGAGGCCAAGAAAGTGTTTTTCATGCCACACAGCACCTTTCTTAATACCCTGCCTCAAAGACCCAAAATGGAGAGGACTTGGGGGCCGAATGTCTTGTTCAACAATTATGCTGTTAAGAGAACCGGGATCCTTTGTTAACTTCTTGGGATATTTTCTGTACTGAAGCACTTCTCAACACACATGTGTGGTTTGCAGTCCTTCCCAGAAAGCTTTAAGAGAATCCTGTCTGTTATGCATCCACAGGGGCAGAATTTCACTAAGACATTGTTAAACTCTCAGCTCTGAAAGCTGGGAAACTGAAAAGGTCAATGGATGGTGAAGAATTAGGGACAGATAATGTATAGGCTATCAGAAAATCACCAGTAGGCTATGTCCCTAAGATTGCTACTATTGTAGCCGCTTGTTCTGTTCCTATGCACAAATTCTCATAAAAATGCTCCTCCATGAACGGCATGAAGTTGGGTTCTAATGCGATCTTTTAAAAGACCAAGGTGACAGCGGTGAAGACGAGGTATTTTACTGGTGGCATCTGTACGTTTTGGAGAACTTCTGTCTTGGCATGTTGCATGATGGCCCAAATCCAGGGCACCTTTGCCTGCTGGAATACTGGACAGGTGCTTCCCAAATTTCTCCTGAGCTGAGTAGCTGCTCTTTATCACATGCTTTCAGACAGAGTAGATGGAAAAGACCCTGCTTATGTCATTTTAGGAAAAATCTCTGACCAGAAATGGACAGGGACTGAATCCAGGTCTTTTTATAAATCATTACACAGCACGCTGCGTTGAACGGGGAGAAGAGCGCCCCTAGAGGATCGTGCTTTGTATTGCAAAGGGCTGATTTGAGAAGCAGGCAGGAGCAGCGGCTAAGGCCAAGGAGCGCAGTACTCAGACTGGCCTGTGCTGTTGAAGAGAGCGGAAACAAACGGCTCCCTCTAATAACCTCCAAGTCAAACATCGCTATGGTAGATTTGTTTATTTTTAAAGACATCCAAATGGGTGCTTGCTTTCAGATTTGCAAAGAGGATAAATATGGATGCTGCTTTAATAAAAGGTCTACCATCTTCCTTTATAAAACGGGCAGTTGGAAAAGGACAGAGAAACGCCGGAGTGGGAGGGTCTTACACGTAGCTACTTTTGGGTTTCCACGGGAAGGTGAGGGTCTAACCTCTAGTGTAGTGATGTCTTGGTTGGTTAGAAGGAGACTGGGCTGGACCACGTGTGCTTTGCAGGATCAGCTCCCCTGGGGGAACCGACCCGAGGAGACTGAGATGAAAAGGGGTGCAGGGCTGCCAAACCACAGCTTCGCCTGCTGTCGCTGCGCTGCCCTTCCTTCCCCCTGCTTCACGCCCTGCAGTCGGAGGGTGGAGCTAGCAGCTCCCCCTGCAGCTCCAGCTTCTCTTCCCTTCTATCATTCCAGAGGGGAACCTGTGAGCTGGATCAGAACATGCCTCCGCTTTGCACAGACTGAAACGATCTTGTCCGCAAGGACACTTCCAACTCTCACGACAACGCAAACCTAAGCTGAGCAAAGAGGCTGAGGGGCGGGGAGCAATTTTAAAGAACAAGTCATCGCATGATGATCACCCTCTTCTCAGCCTAGGTCAGCTTGAAGGTTGTCTTGGAGGACTTGATGCTTTTCCGGTGCTGTTTCGGAAACACTCATCTCTGAAATGTGTTTAAACAACAATTAAAAAAAAAAATCAGTCTCAGTAGAGGCTCATCAATCTCAACACGTTACAATTCTGCCACCTTGTGGGGACACTTGAAAACACGACCAAGTACAGGAGGAAAAGTGTGCGATGAAAGCATTGCCCGGGCTCGGCAGGCGGCCAAGTCGCAGGCAGACCCGACTTCTGGGGAGCCTGAGGTGGCAATGCGCCTGTCCAGAGCAGGGATGGATTTGGGAAAATCCTGAAAGGAACCAGGCTCCCCAAAGCCATGTTAGGGGACCAGGTGGCACAGAAGATTCAAAACCAGGCCCCCAAAATCTTTTCGTCTTGTTTCACTTTAGGTTAGAATAATGCAGTGGTCATTTTTAAAACGCTGGTTGGTGACTGACGTTGAGAAACAAGTTATTAGATTCAGGGTAGCAGAGTTCTCTGGTAAGCATCCCCTGGATTGAGATAGGACTGAAATTACATTTATCAAAGCTGCCATTTTTGTTCTGGAAAGTACAAATGAAGAATCCTTAAAAACTGCATACTGGTTTTTCTTTCATGAGTCAATAACTCCCCTACAATGTAGACTAAAAATCACATCTGAAGTAATGGTCTTGTTTCGGCTGAATACTAAGTGAGAGGTACTTTTTGCAGCAGTGACTTTAATGCCTTGAAAAGCTGTTCATCGAGGAACTGGATTATGTTCACTCTGCTAACATGAATTCTTTTGGTAGGTTTTGGGCATTTTGCATGATATTTACACACTAATGCCTGTAGAGAGGTTCCTTGAAGTATGAAGAATGTGTGTTTTCCCTTTAAATACACATCAGTATCCAATCAGTTTCTCCTCTGGCATTGATGTACGTGGCTTTCAGAATTGCAGCATTAAAGCTGTTAGAAAAAAATCACTTTTTTTGCTCTACTTCTTCCTTCTCTGTTTGCTTCTTTTCCCTCAATTTCCAAAGAGGCTTTATCAGCCTTTATCTTCATGGACACTCATATCACTCTTCTTGATTTCCACGGTTTAAACTTTCAACAAGATTCACAGACCAACTTTTCAACAAGATTCAGGTAAGAAACTGTGGCCAGCTCACTGTATACAAATCCACCCAGGCCACGCGTGGCAGGAGGATTTGGTGTAAACTGTGTGCACTTGCAGAGGACTTGCCCTATTTTGAAACGTGGATGGGTTTCTGTAACGCAGGAAACCCAGGTCATGATTGCCCTGCCTCTCCTGTCATCCCAGATCAGAAATAGCTACAGATACAATACATAGGGTTTTTATTTTTAACTAGATCTAAGTGGGCTAAGAATGAGAGAGAAGTACAAAGAGATGACGAGCTTCTCCACCATCAAATGAGACAACACGCGTGCAGGGCGCTGTAATCCGTGCTGCTCGAACTCAGGTGACCCACAGGATCAACTTGTCCATGTCTCAGGGCGGGGCTTTCTCAGGAAGCCCTGCCCGCCCCCTGGAACAAAATGAATGTAGCCCATGTCGTGTAAGGTGCTGGCAGGCTGGGGACAAGGGACACAAAGAAGCAAAACAAAGGCATTCAGGAGACCCTGGCTGCCTGAAGTGCTAGCACAGTAGTGGGGCCCACAGACAGGCAGTGTCTACCTAAGAAATTACCTCATAAGCCTCAATTCGCAAGCAATTCTTAAAAATCTAACTTCTAATGATACAATGATAAGACTTGATAACGATAGGAAACTTCAGATGTGTCACGGTTTGGATCTATAATGCCCCCAAAAGTCGCATGTTCAAAGTGGGGCTTCTCAGAAGAGGTGGGTCACTGCGGTTGTGATCTGTGGGGGTGCATTCTTGTCCCCCACTTCTCCTCTCTGTGCATCCTGGCCCCTGCGTGGTGCACGGCTTTCCTCTGCCATGCCATGCCCTGGAGCCAGTGCCCTCATGAGCCAATCACCTTCCAGAAGCTCCACCTCTGAACATGAGACTACTCAGGGACATAACCAGACCTCGTATTCATGTCATGTTGGAGTTGGAAATGGTTTAAAGATGGGACACTCCCCAGCACCCCCTTTTGGCTAGCACTGACTCCTACCCCACAAGTGTGCAGGTTAAACTAACTAGTTCCCATCGAAAGAAGAGCAAAGGAGTGTTACCCGAGAACTAGGTATCCTACCAGGCCATTTGCTTACAAGGTGTAACTTATTCCCTCATATTAAGGAGATGTTATTATCTTATTTTTCAATGGGTTGAGTCACCTGCCATAGCAAATTCAGGTAGATTGTAGCAGAAAAGTCAGTTCTGTCTCTGTCTGTTTTTCTTCTTTGGCTAGTAATGACAATATCTTATGCATCTTTGCATTTATTGAGCTCTTTAAAATAAATATTTGTGATAAAGTAAATCGTTAAACTTTTAATGTTTAGTAACCTTTAAAAAGATGATTCATTTTCCTACAAAAAAAAAAGACAGAAACAAGAAATAACATTGAAAAACAACACATATGTATATGTACATATACTGTTCTAAAACTGTAATTCTGACCACAAAAGTGATAAATAATCACAATGTTCAAGACATGAGGCGGTAGGCAGAGTTTAGATGTCGGGTTTGGTGCCAGCTCCCGTCATGTGTGTCACCATAGATCATGCTGTAAAGCTTGGGTTCTGCATCTTACGGCTTGCGCTCTGTTGGGCCTTTTCTTGCTATGATCCTTTATAATTCCTTCTAGACCAACCATCTGGGCTGTTACTCAGCTCTTGGGCTTTCATCTTTTCTGCTAAGTGGAATGGTATGTTTCTGGAAAAGTTAAACCAGATACTGCTGAGAGAAAATGGGAACCGGAATTAGAGCAGAAGGTTCCAAGAAAACTCAAAGACAGTAAAAAATCTGCAGACACAGAAAAACTGTGGTCTTTAGAATCCACAGAGGGATGTGGTGGAGACGTCCTGACAGTTTGTATGGTCACGTGGGAAGGTAAGGTGATCAGTGGAGGCCAGCAACGATGTTCTGTGAAAATATAAACCAAACCAACGAAGGAAATCCTAGTGATAATAAAACTCATGATGTTTTGCTTGATTGAATATGGTGCAGATGAGGAGTAAACAGCCCGGTGCATCTGTCATAAACATTAAAAAGTCTCAGGTGCTTTCACAGCAGAATGATAAGAGACCAAGAGAGGGAGGGGTCCCAGTGTCCCCCAAACTGAACATTGCATTTTGAGTGATGTGGTCTATTCTAGGTGCCAGATGTTTAAAGAGGGATTTCAAACTTAAGATGTTGATTACTGGGGATATGAGAATTAGAAATTAGGTGATACAAAAATACACGAGCTAATGGTATGTTTAGCATGGGAAGGAGAACTTGCTATTCTCATATCCTTGAAAACATTAGAGTGGACGCTAATGAATATGGCTATAGAAACACCACCATTACAGGGAAGCCTCAGGATTGCACTTTGACTTCGGTTTAACCAAAAGCTCTCTAACAACCGGAGCCTACCTCTTCATAACCCTGAAAAATGCTTGTAGATGAAGTCTTCAAACAAAGCTTGCCTGTTCCTGTCAGAAATTTATGTCCACATATAAGAAGTTGACCAGACCAGATGTTTTCTCTAGCTTTTGCCAATTATAATTTTATAATTAAGTTAGTTGCTATAATTAATAATTTATGATTAAATTAGTTCCTTATAAATCAGGTTCTATTTCTTCTAGAGCTGGCTTTGTAAGGAGATGAGAGAATCCAAGGTCAAAAACGTCTATCCGTGATGTTATGATGTATAAGGGAAAGAAAAGGTGGTCATGCTGGGGATGGGTCCAGAGAGAAGCCACATCACAAAAGAACAGAGGGAACATTTGGAAACTCATGTAGAGGATCTTCAAGATGCCAGGGGAAAATCACCTGGTATCACTGATGGTCATGTAAGATCACTGGTACATGATCTTAGATATTTCCTTCTGTGAGATGACACTAATATAAACAAAAAAAATGAATAGCTTGTAGAGACCAAATAAAACAGTGGATATAGGATGTCACCAGAATATAGGACGCACACTACTTGCTCAGTAAAGGCAGGTATTCCTTACAGCATCCAGGTGGATGCATTTCTTCCAGTTCTTAGAGAACTTCCACATATATGACCTCATTTGATTATTACAGTAACTCCGTGTAGGAGGCAAAGTAGATGCAAGACCCACATTTCAGAGGTTGAAATGATGCTTAAAATAAATAACCAAGTTTACTGAATGATGATTATTTGATCTGCTATTTCAGACATACTTCTACTGAAGAAGTACATTATTTTATGCACAACCAATTGCATCCTGTAAAGTGAGGAATACAATGAATTGTTTAAGAGTTTTCAAAATCTGCACCCTCAGATAACATGCTGCAGCAGTGAATTGTAGATGTGATGCAGGTGCTGCCGGGAATATAGTGAAACTGACTCTTCTTTCCATGGTGATGAGAACCTAAGTTGAGGTCACCTTTGGAAAAGGATACATACATCCTCATCCTTTGGCCCAGAATTTCTCATCTTAAGAATCTAAGAAAATATTCAGAAATGATGAGAAAATTTGATTTATAGAAACATTCATGAAAGTATATGTTCTAACAGTGACAAGCTAGGAACACTCTAAATAGCCCACACTGGCCCTTCAAGGTATAGAATAAATCATAAAAGGAAAGCATTACAGGGATAAAGAGATGGACTCTGGAGTCAGACTCACTGGATTAAATTCCTACCTTGACATTTACTAGCTGTGTGAGTTGGTTAGTGACCTAAGATGTTCTTACCAAATCAACTAAAAATGGAATCACAATTTGTATTTTATGGAGCTCTTGTGAAAGTTATATGCAGCACTGAATGGAAATTGTTTAGCTAGTGCCTGATGCATAGTAAACACTTGAAACAAATAGCCATTACAATCATTAGTGTGTACTAATTATGCTATATACTAAATCCTCGGTCTATGACAGGTTTTGGGAAACAATATCTTTCAAAATTTTGAGAATAGCAATTTGACCTATGAGCAGTGAATATTCTTATCTTACAAATGGGGAAATGGAGGACAAGAGTGGCTAAGCAAATTTACATGGTAAGTTGGAAAGCTGGGATCTGAACCCAGGTTGTCTGACTAGAACACAGGCTCTAATATGTATTATGTCTGAGTGTCCCATATGCACACAGAACAGAACCATGTTAGGCATACTCATTTAAATGACGTTTAGAAAGAAATCAATTTAATTGTGTATTACTAGTTTTTAAAATTAGGGTACTAAATGTTTTCTCTGACCTGAGATCCACTGTGTAAAATGCAAATAAAAGGCCTGAAATTGATATGATTGCTTCTGTGTACAGGCATTGTCAGTACCTTTTATTCTTGATTCTGGCTATTTCTGTGCTTTCTAACTTATCAATTTAAAACGTACAATTTTATAAACACAAAAACTGAAGCATAAATGAAAGTACTAGTCCCAGCAAGATGCAAAGGGAGCAGATCTTGGTAGGCAGGTTATCTGTTCTCCAATTCTGGCAGTAAAATATACTACACAGTAGACACTGGGATAAGTTTTCTGCAAGAGACTTACAGTTCTGGGTAAAGCTCTAAGAGCAATGGGAATAGGAGCACTTACCTGCTCTGGAGCCGGGGTGGGTGGAGGGAAGGCAGGGGTGGCCATGGGCTCAGGTTGGACCACTACTTCAGCTGGAACGGCTCCTTCTTCACCCTCTTCAGCCGGCTGATGGGTACAGTGACCAATGTCTGCATTTTTGAATGATACAGGCCGTGCAAAGTCCATGGGGCTAAAAGAATATAATCAAAATGATTTTTTTTCTTATTTTTCTTGGTCTTCCTTTCTTTACAATTAAGTGACATCCTCTCCATACCTCCTCTGAGGTCATTAGTGCAGCGCTCCAAGTCTAAATTAAAGGTCTGCATGGGTTCCTTCCCCTATGGCTTTGCACAATGTAGATGAAATAGTGAACCTTGTATTTAAAAATAAAAGTGGAAAGAAAGTTGCTTACACAGCATTAATAACAAGATTCCACACGCAGCCTTCAAAAGGAGGGATAGTTTGGAGTGAGGAAGGTTGAAATTCAGGTGGAGCACCTCCCACGAAAAGCTTTTTCACTTCAATGGGATGTTCTACCGTCAGATTTTGCATATGTCTTCGGTCTTCATCGACTTGAACAGTGAAGATGCTGAAGAAATATTTAAAAGAAACGAGTATAAATCACACAGTGTTCAGTAGCATTGGAAATCTCCTTCGTGCACCCGTCACTGTTTATTCCCACAGCTTTGAAGGGAGCCCAGGTTGGGTGATTGGAGGCTCCGTACATATGGGGCACAGTTTACTGTTTCCCAGAATTTTGTCCCATGCCTCTCTCATGAAGTCTCCCTGAAAGTTTGCCAAAACCGGGCAATGGGGCTACAGCGGTATGAGCCTCCGGTGGAGCTGACAGCAGCGGTCTTCAGCCTGACACACGAGCCTGTGTGAGCCCAGGCTTCGGTGCCTTGTTGATACCTAACTGTCGAAAGATCAGTGGGTTCATCTCGGCATGGGGTCACATTTTGGTTGGCTCTTATTTCTCGGTTTATGCTGGCTATTATCTTCTTGTTAGGGGACAAACTGTACTCCCGAGAGCTTAGCTTGCAGGAATGAACAGAAAACACTTACAGGACGTTTTATACAGAAGGTAGCTGCTGGCTTTTGAATAGAAGAGGCAAGAAAGAACATCATGCTAATTGTTCCCCACAATGATTTTTCTTAGTGGCTGTTTCATTAATTTCCTTATGAGAGATAACTCACATGCTAATAATTGAGAACTTCTGCCACTTATTCACAACAATCCTTGGTTCCCAGGGCAGAAAATCAAAAGACAGCATTGGGAAGATGACATAGCTGAAGGCATTCTCTCTTTTTCAGTACAAGCCGGTTTTGTGCTTAGTCCTGACAGCCATTGTGATGTTATTAGTCATAAGTATTGCTCACTAGTTCCAGGATCATGAGTGGATTATTGAAAACTTACTTCCTCTCTAAAGAGAAAACCAAAGTACTTGGGGTGCAAAGCTCAGTCCTAATACGCCATCTTACTTATTTTATAAGGAAGAGAAAACCCGCACACAGAACTGCAAGCTATGAATCAAGGAACAATGCTATGAATTACCACTGAACTATGGATCCACTTTAGTACTATTCAAAAGTAAGAAAATAGAACAAAGATGGATTTTATAATGGCTCAAAATGTCACTCTACACTGGATGTAGAGGGGCCAGCCTGATTTAGTTTCAAAGGGAAAATAGAGAGAAATGACTTTCTTTTTAAACCAGACTCCAGAAGAATGCATTGGCAAAGATCAAGAGGCTCAAGTTCATTGCCAAGAGGGTTGGTGGTTTGAGACTTTTAGAAAATCACTCACTTCTGGGTATTAGTGACTCACTGAGGAGTCCTTTCTCCTTTGCCTTTTCTCTTTGGACTTAAAGAAACCCCTTACTAACGTGATGAAACAGTGCTCCTAAGGGCTCTAAGGAGGGGTTCACGCCACTGTTAAAGATTGTCTCCCTAGTTAGTTAAGGGTTTGCCCCATGGCTGTCTTACTTAAGAAGGGCATTGCTAGAATACTACAGCTGAACCCTGCTTGCATTTACATTATAGAAACATCATATCCTTATAATTTATTCAGTTCTTTGGTAAAGAAGGATATTTATTACCAACATGTCCATGATAATTCTGGTATTTTATCTTTAAGTTTTATTCAATAATTTTTTTTTTTTTTACTGAGAAACCAGTGTGTGCAAAATACTGTTTAAACATTGAATTACCTATCCATATCATGAGAGATCAGCCTCAATGTTTCTTTTATGATTTCAGTGGTTGATCCTTAGAGTTTCATAACTAAATGTTTTATTATAGCAGAAGATCCCCACCCTCCCTGGTATACTTCAGTTTGTTAGTTGCCGAGGTAGTAGTTCTGGTTACAGTTCCTATTACTTACATTTCTTAGAAAAGGCTGGTTATGCAATGCCCATTGTAAGAGCCAGTCCCCAAAGGACAAGCCATTCTGCCTCTGTACCTCCTGCTTACTTATCCTACATAAGCGTTAGACTACCAGAGATCAGGGCTTAATATTTTGGGAATGATCCTGGTCAGTGCCTGTTGAAGTAAATAAATCTGCCTCCAAATCCTGGGTGTCATTTTAGTGTTTCTGCTTGCCGTTGCATTATTACTTACATTCTGTTCCTTATTTGTTTGAAATATTGGTCCAAGATGTTTTCAAGCCACCACCAGTTGGCTTGCATATGTGGAAGAACATATTAAAAGAAGTGCCTTGACCTTTGTAATTTACACAAAAAATAAATTCAGAATTTTGACTGAACACATTTTGGTTGTTAAGCAAGCAAATGTTTGGATTGCAGTGTCCAAGTCAAGATCTCATTCAGGAAATCCTAAACTACTCCTGAAACACTTGATGAAACTTTGCAGTCCTTAGTCCAATTTTGAGAATGCTTTTACAGACATGAAACTCCATTCTGTCCAACCTAACAAGCTGTCTGAACAACTATTTTAGGCCTTTGAGGTTTAATGTTTTGTCTCTAGAGCTGTTGGCAACTGGGACCACTCCAGAGGGAAAGAATATGTGGCAAAGCAGTTATGATAGAGCAGGGTCATAGGAGTACCACAAAATTAGACAACAAAATGACTAAAGTAGGATTTCCAGAGGAAGGGATAGAAAAGGGAAGAAGTTGAGGAAGGAGGAGTAAGAAGAGGCAAAGGGGAAAGAAAAAGTGTCAGTACTGAAAAGTTTGTCCCACAAGTTGGTTAAATTCCAGTTATTTTACAAGGTGCTATTAAAGTTACCATTTTATACAGGACTTTAGGAATTGAAACTATGACTGCCAGTTATAGTGTGAAGAGTGTTAGGCTGAAATCATATGTTTCTAGATTAGTAACAGTTTATCATAATCAATGTGAAATCATATGAATCTTTAAGTGTATGAATACACAGTTGGCTAAGCATGGATGGAGATATTTATGCGTAGCTGGGTTTATAACCTGTTGTGTTGTTTCCAGTATGTGATTTGGGGTAAGTTAGTTAATATTTTCCCATCACTGTTGGAAGGACACTAATATACTTCTAGCACATGTTTAGAACAGTTAAAAGACTGTCCATTTTGATCCTGGACATCCCATTGGTATATGAAGCACTGACTTGTTTCTCAGTGAAGTTTACATGGTCATTTGTGATCTCTCATTAATCAGTGCTTCCTTATAGAATAGACAATGATTGCATTTTGACCTCAGAGCTCTAAACAAGGTGTTAGGATAGCAAATGTGCTCTTATTTGGCACAGAGTTTAGTGACTACACACTAATATGTCCAGTATATTATTCTCTAATTAACACTGAATGGCAAAAGTGTTTGTTTGTACAGCCAATTAACCGAATGACTAGTTTTCAGGGATGTGCTATATACCGAGCTTAATCAAATAAGGGTTGGATTTATGGTCCACAGCTGTGAAGTTGGCGCAATAAAATGCCCTTCTTGAAGAAACACCTGTTAAAAGGACACCTCAGCACAACATCATAATACATGTGGGAGTTTCAAATTTTTTCCATTAATTACACTTCTCAAATATGCATTTGCCTATATTAAATTCTTAACTTTAAAGACTTTTAAAAAATCTTTTTCATAATAAGAAGGATTAAAGTCTGGCAAAGGGGCTAAAATCTAGTCTAGAAGACATGTAAAGTTGGTATTCTGAAGCATTCTCTAAGATTCAGATGAGAAAACCCAGCCCGCCTTTCTCCCTAGAAATCACGACTACAATATCTGGGTAGTGGATTCACAAAAGTTCTAAGTTTGTCCAAATATTGTTCCAAGTTGGGGATATAGCTCAGCTCTTGCCTGCCTGGCAAGCGCAAAGTCCTGAGTTCCATTTCCTGGTACCAAAAAAATATATATATATTGACCCATCATTTACCTTAATTATGGTTTCTAAATATCTCAGTTAGTAGTCACTCAGCATGAATGCTTAGTATCACTTCAGACCACAACCTAATGCTCTATATAATAACAAAATGACCCAAGCAAAGTTCTATCATTTATTCAGAACATAAGAAATCCTCATTACTTGTCTAAACTGTTATCCAGAGGGTATCAATTATGAGAGGATAATAAGAAAATATAGATCTTTAACTACAGAATAGCAACTGCTTGTCTGAGCTATTGCTGAACATTCATACACCCGTTGCATTTAAAAGTACTCTCTGTGTTTTGAGATTCCTTTAAATTTGATTTGCATTTCTTTCCTATGCCTTCCATCTAATAAATGGATTGCTGGTTTGGAGCTTTGTGGACCCTGAAGTCTCTGGCCTTCTGTTTTCTTTCACTCCAGTTGTCCTTCTAAGCCAATTGCCTCTCTGAGTTGTGGTACAATATTTTGATGAAAAGTATAGAGAACTTTGCCAAGGAAGTGCATACAAAGTATGGCAATGTTTTGAAGAATTGAGAAAGGAGCCTTTGTGCTGTTCAGTCTATTTCACTGGCTCAGCGCTGGGAGGCAGGTGCCGCATGGCTCTGTAGAGAGGTGGGCTCCACAAGTGGATTTCAGGGTGACCACCGTTCTCCTCCTCCTCTCCCTTCACTGCGGGGAGGGAACAGGATGAGGTAGGCACATAAGAGGCTCAGGAGATAGAGCGGCTGCTGCACACTCCCTATCCATGACAGGTTTCTAAGCAGCTGCCACAAATGCTTTGGAACCTGAGTGAAATAGCAGCTGCCAAAGGCTGCCGGCTCCAGCTGAGTTATTCTGTGCATTCACTATGTGCATACCTTATGGAGAAGAGAATATCTGAGAGGTGCAGAGAGAGGAATTTTTCAAATCTATAGCTTCAAAGGGTGCATTAGGTTGTTCTAAAGGTGGACAGGAGAACTGCACAGAATAAAAATGTTAGGAGCAGAATTCCTAAGGGCACGAGTAAATGAAGTTCCCTATGCATGAAATATAAAGATGAGGAAATTAAACCACTTCCTCATTTTATAATGCACAGTATGTCCACGCGCGCACAGAGGTTCAGAAAGAGAGACTGATGCTGGCAAAGGCATCTGTGTTAGTTACAACAGTTAGTACTCGAGTGCAGTAGATACCCTCGTGTCCTCTCGACGTGGACGGAATGTTCTCTCCCATCATGAAACAGACTTGGCTCTGGTTTGATGACAATTTTCCTCATTGTCCGTAACCCCGTGGAGAGATGCACCTCCAGCCTGCCTTTGTTGAGGAGGATGGCATAGTACGCCTGAAACAGCAGATGGGTATTGGCGATTAAACAGGAGTCTCATCCATGATGTAGGCAGAGAGCATCACCTGCCGTGAGATCTTACCTAGGAAATTATGGCTCAATCTTTTCTCCAGCAGAGCTGTTAAAGTAGCTGGAAATATCTTTTTAATCATTTACTGTGTTTGCCTGTTAGATGATGTGGAAAGTGGAGATAGTGAAATGGTTGTTCTCTGCCAAGCAGGCTAGTGATGCTGAACGAAACAGCTGCGCTGGTATTGGTCCTCTAACTCACTCCCAACCCATCCGGAAACAAAGGCTGTCCACACGGCCCCTCCCCCTTCCATTCACACATGGAAACCTCGCTTCTGACCATCCGATCTGACTCTCCAGCCCAGGGCATTTTGAGTGTTCACACTTCAATTTGTTCTCCGATCTGGTGGAAGAGATTGCTATCACAGACATGTAACTGGTCTCCCACATTTAGAAAGAAGGGAGACAATCTTTCATCCACAAATATGCCTGCTTTCTCTTTGCTATCATTGCCATAGCAACCAGTATGGTTTTGATATCCGATTATGAACCCCGGGGAGCTTGAATGCGGTCCTCATCCCCAAAGCTGAGGCCACATGCACTTCCTTTCTCGTGGACTATGGGGGCACCTGCTGTGCAGCGATAACTCAGTCCCCGTGAGTAATCAATGGTGGCAGAGATGGTTTTGATCAACACTGCCATGTTTCAATAACACACTAAACCCTATACGCAGGTAGTGTCTAGCACAAAATGCTCTAAGCATCTGGATTGATTAGCATTCACCATCCTACAGAGAGCAACTGCAAACTATTTACTGAAGAATGTCCTAGCTGATGGGAATGTTTGATATTAAAACCCATTTGGCAGAACACAATCACAAATAACCTTACGGATGTCAAAACTGTTAGCTTTGACACTTAAACTATGTCAGATTTAGTCAGCACTGACTCTCTAACAGCTTTGAAGTACTAACATTGTTTTCTCTTTTAGATAGCAATTACTGTTTGATTTAAAAAACTAGATCATTATCATCAAAATTTAATTTCTGATTTACATTGTACTGCAATGCTTAATATATCCTAAATTTAATACTTTGAATAGAAATACATTCTGTTGTAAGGACTGTCCTGGAGAATGGTGATTCAATTCTATTTATTTAGTGTTGAGGACTAAATTTAAAGCCAGTAGGTGGTGCTTAATTATTTGACAATGAGAAAGAAAACCCATATTTTTTCATAGAAAGCTATCTCAGAATGTTTGCTCTGATCTTTTTTTATACCTAGCTTATCATTTGCAGTAGTGAGAAAATAATTTTAATATTCAGGATGAAAGGATAAAGAATCTAGGAGAGCTTTTATATTTTATACTTATTCAGTGACTTTTTTCTTTTAAAGAGAAAAGAACAAAAGCAAAATAATGAAGACAAAGACAAAGACAAAACCACAGAAAAATAGAAACAATATAGAATTCGAAAAAAGATGATAGGGAATTAATAATGGTTGTTGTACTACATATTGTTGTCTTCAAAGTAGTTGCTCAGATTAGTAGAAATAGGCATGCAAGACTGATCAAACAATTAAACATTAACTGTTCCTTTCAATAAGCCATTAGAAATTAGTAGTACAATTGTTTTAGCTCTCTTGTGTATATATAAATTTTCTTTCACTTCTTTCTTTAACACTTTCCCTCATCCCAGTTGTTCTTCCCTTTTGAGCAGTTTCTTTCCCTTTCACAATATCTATTGTACCTTTGAGATTTTATTAACACTTTCAGGTTCTTACACTAGGGAGACAATATGATGTTTACACATATGGGTCTAATTTATTTCACTTATGAGTATGGTCTCTAATTGCATCCATTTATCTATAAAAGCATTGAGTTTATCTTTTTTTATAGCTGAGTTATATGCCTTTGTTTAAAAATATCACATCTTTTTTATCCATTCCTTAGTTGATGGGCATTTGGGTTGTTTCCAATATTTAGCTATGACAAATTGTGCTGCTATAAACACAGGTGCACATATCAGTGACTGTTATGTACAGTGAGAAATAAAATAAAACATCTTTTCTTACTCTTCAAATTTTTTATTATGATTATTTGATATGTTTCTCACAATATAACTCATGCTTTGTGTTTTCTGATGATCATAAGGTTTCAATATTGATGCAGTTCTGATTGCAGTGTTTTTCTGTTCAATACATTATTATCTTCCTCAAGACCAAGAGTGATCCTTCAATATTTTTTGAAAAATTTAAAGTTTTTTCCTCCAAATTTAAGACTAATTTACTGGGATCTTATTTTATTTTATTTTATTTTATGTTATTTTATTTTTTGGTTTGGTAGGAAGTAGAAACTCATGGAGATAAATGACTGCTCTGGAATCATTCATGGAACAGTTCACATTTTCTTAATGCTCTGCAGGACTACTGTGGCCAAATGCCATTTCCATCTAAGCTGCCTGTCTACTGTGTTTCACCAGGATAGAATTTTCCATGAATGAAGATCACATTTTATAATCAAAACTCTAGCTTCTAATGTCCTGATACTTGGTAGGACAGCCCTCACACCTGGTTCTTCTACTTCAGGACTTTTTACTTTTTGATATAAATTTAAAAACTAACCAGTCCTAATTTGCATAAAGATAAGTAGTATCTTCTTAAAATTGAATCTACATATGATTTCAGGGAGAACTGATAAGTTTTTAATATGAGGGTTTTAGTATTCATTAACCTGTTGAATATGCGCAACTCACCAGGACTATTTTTATAGCTTTCAGGAAAATCTTATAGTTTTCTCTGCATGAATCCAATGCTAAGTTTGTTATATTTATTCTTAAGTCATGTGCTTGTTCTTGCATTGTATCTACTTGCTCTTTTCTTATTTCATTGGGTAAAATCCAAGCAAATAAGTCATCCTTTTATCACACATTTTGTAACATTTTTCTATCCAGAATACTTGCTATTGTTTTTTTACAGACAGCTAAAAATGTTCTTTTCTTATTTTACTCAATAATTTTTAAAAATCGTGAGTGGTTGTTAAAATTTTTCCACTTTCCACATATGTATTTTTTTTTTTTTTTTTTTTTTTGGTTTTTCTCCGGTACCGGGAACCGAACTCACGACCTTGCGCTTGCCAGGCAGGCGCTTTTGCCGCTGAGCTAAATCCCCAGCCCCTCCACATATGTATTGAGGTGATATATGAGTTTTAGATTTTCTAATATTAAACCACTGTTTCATTTCTGCAATAACCAAAGTTACTCGTGTTTGTACAGTTCTTGATTCTGTTTGCTAATCTTTTGTGCAGGTTTTATCATTATTAGAGAAAGAAATAATATTTTATTATTTAGTATATTATTGATAGTAAATGGTAAATTCTAAGCTTAATTTAAAGGATGTATAAAATTTAAAAAATCACATGACCTGATTTACAGGGTGTGTGCATGTTTAAGGATGTATCTGTAAAGCACGCCAGACTTCTGATCATGGCAGACTATGAATGCTTCCTCTGACGGAAACTAGATTAGATAGAAAAAAACTCAATTTAAAAATGTGGTTGATGGGATTGAGGAAATTCCAAGGGGGTAAAGTGTTCTGATACCCAGACGTGGGAACTGAGGGATTGTTGTCACAGAATCCAGTGATGGGGAGACATGCATACTCAGGTGCAGCCCGGTATATTGGCACACACTTGTACTCGTAGCACTCTGGGAAGATGAAGCAGGAGGAGCACAAGTTCCAGCTCAGCAACTGTGAGACCCTGCCTCAATGAGATAAGGGCTGGCAGCGTAGCTCAGTGCAAGGGGCTGGGTTCAATCCCCAGCATCGTGAGAAAGGGAACTAGCACTCCAGCTCTATCCTCACAAAGAGGATGCACTTCAGGTTTTATCCAAACACCCTTGAGCGGTAACAGTCCATGTCCATATTGGTTCTGCTCTACAGGCCTTACTTAGCCAGGCCCTGTCTACCTTCCTCTGTGTGCGCAGAGGTGGGAACGGTCAGCCTCCAATGGGCTGCATTGCCTCCACTAGCACACCTGGGAAACTGACTCTAGAAGAATTCTTTAAATGTAGATGTAAGGAATCCTAGCTGAATATTCACAGATCTGGTATAAAGTTGGACTTAGAGACCAGAAAATATTAATATAATTTGAATATATTTCAAGCACTTGCCTTTATACATGCATATGCTGACCTATGTGAAACACTGCAAATACAGGTAGGATTCAAACCTGGAACTGACGACCAGGAAATCCTAGAAGAGCCTAAGAAAATGATCTGAGAGGGTCAGCAGGCCAGCGCGAGAATGGGATGTGAGTCTCGGTTAGCTAAGATGGGAGCTAAAAGACGTAAACCGAAAAATATAAAAGTATTTAACTGGGTGGGGTACCTGTCCAGTCTGCCTTCGCTTTCTCCTGGGTGGTACTGGGGACCCTCCGCTTCCCAGGAGGATGATCCCGGATTCGTTCTTGGTGCTGAAGGACAGATTGATCTCAGTTCCGACCTCAAAGGGCACAGGGGCAAGCTCCACGAAACCAGGCTTGGGAAAGCTCACTGTATACACGTTCTGTGGGGAAAAGAAAAGAAGAAATTATTAGAAACGAAAAGTAAGCTCTTCTCTCCAGTCCACTTTCTCTCATGTACTCAGTGGGACTATGGAGGTGGCCACAGCATTTGAAGCATGAAAACCCAGAGTTACAGGTAAAACTGAAAGGCAACTAAGAAACATTATTTCTAGTTATTACTTTGAATCTTCTGAGCAGATTGGTTTAAAATAAAATCCTAGCCTTGGCTTTTAACAGGCACTTTTGATTTAAAATATTAAAAACATCACTGACAGACCCTGTTTTCTTTCAGTTTAAATCATTATTACCAAAAACAATCTATGTTACTGTCTTCCTTGAAAATACTACAATTCATCCTTTAGATAACTCCATAAGTTCAGTTTTTGTATTTTAAAGATGAGTGCAACCATGGTCTAAGTCTGTATTCTTCTTCATGATGAGTTGATAAAAAAGATGTTTATCACTATCAAATGTATAATCTCCAGCATACTCTTTAAAAATCAAATACAAATTAAATCTCAAAAATAAATAAGCTAAACCTTCTTTGTCCTGCTTTTTGTCCTCACAATGAAAATAATGCCATTATTCTTACTGGTTATAAAATTAATAGAGTTATGCTCCAGAAAGTGACACTATACAACAAGGAGAAAGTTCTTTCTCCTTCCAAAGCTGTGCAGAAGTGCATAGCTTTCTAGAACTTTTCCATGCATTTATCATACTTTTCTGACTTTGCCCTCATTCTTCAGCCGCTCTTGTATATTTAAATGGAATCATAAGTATCGTCTTCTTTTCATTTACACACATGGTGGATAGCTCTCTATCAGTAAATGAAACTTTAATGGCTGGAGTTCATCCCGCAGTATAAATGTTTAGCATTTGTTTACACACCCCCACACCACTGGGCAAATAAAGTGCTTAAAGTATTCACTCTGAGCGTCCTGGATTTTTACTGACTAAGAGCAAGGGGTCTTCTCATGTGGGCTATTTTCAAGCCCAGTTAAACGATACAAGAGTTGGTACAAAGGTATCATTGACTTTCTGTTCTGATTTGCACATGGTGGCGTTTTAGATAGTTCAGATAAAATGACTGCACAGACTTTTCAGTATTTATCCACATATTTCCGGCCCACATCTGAGTTGTAAAATGATTCCCGATTGCTGGAAAGTGCCATTGTAGAATCATCATTTCCGCGCATGCAGGCTGCTCATGTTCTGGACAGGTTCTCATCTTCGCGTATATATCTTCTGAATGTGGATGAGAGCTGGGCTTTGAAGATTAAAATTTCCCTCTGAAGCCAGGCTAGACCGTTTGAGTTTTAATTCTTTCTGTATTTTCTTTCTCTGACTCCCAAACCTAGGGTGGGTGTCTGTGGCCAATTCGAAATTGGAGCCTGCAGCTATGACAGAAGAAAATGCTGAAAGTTCTGTTACCGTCTTGAACTTTATTGCTCTGAAGGCAGACTCTTTCTCTTTCTCTGTCCTCTCTTCACTTCCTTGAACTCTACTGGTGTACTTTAAAATCATTTTAATTGGAGGAAGCAGCCAAAATGAACCGTTTTACCATAGCAGGGTAATTAAAAATTCGTGTGAACAGTTAACATTTTCTTAGTTCAAAAAGCTCATCATTATAGAGTGCCTATAAAATTCCTACTAATGATTACTGTTGACCACTGGATCCTACTTACTGGTATTTTAATAGAGCAAAGCCATGGCCTGGGTCTTTTTCAAATCTCAATCAGCCCAAATTGAAGTTTCAATGCATAATGGTCAAGTGGAATTTTCTAGGCTGCCTCTAGGCTGCTTCAGCAACAGAGAGATCCTAAGAACATCAGTTAACAAGGGATGCAGCGTCCACATCACACAAATCTTTGGGGACCTCGGATGTCAAGGTCTCCATCTATGTTATTTCAAAGCCTAGATGTTAGACTTCAAAACTGTGGGCAAGATGCTATATGCTAGTAGTTATGCCATAAGTTATTACTTTCTGTTTGCTTCAACCCCAATATATTTTAGAAAACATTAATGTTGCTAATAAAGCTAAAAATAAGAAAAATAAGATCAATTTAAAATCAGTGCAGAAATTGCGGAAAAGTAGTGTTAGGAAAGTGAACCAGAAAACATTCTAATATTAAAGATACATGTAATGAAGTAGTAGATATTTCAGGACATGAAGCAGGATTTTGACTCTTCATTCAAACTGTAACTTGTAGACTGCTTTGATCTTGCTTCATCATTTGTACATAGCTATGACCAGGGTAAGCAGAAGTCTAAAATTCATTAACAAAGGACCAATCCTTGTAAAAGCATTCAAACTGAGCAAGTGAAACATGATAAGAATATATTCAGGGAATCCTGAGAACAGACTGACCTCCAGGGAGCATCCTTTGGTAACGCCAACATAATCAGGGCTGCTGAGGATATTGTATGGAGTTCTGGAAATTTCAATATCTTTGAGGCAGCCAGAATATTTCCTCACATTGACTTCTGGCCTATTGAATGGTCAAACAGAAAAGAAGAACAACATCATTAGGGTGGTGGCAGTGTAGTCTTTGGAGTCATGTGCAGCAACCTGGCTGTCAGGCAGGTCATGTCTATGGAAGCCCACACACACACACACCTGCACCCAGCAAGCTATGCTTTCAGCTACATAACCTGCTTCTTGGATTAAGTGCGTGTTGACAGCATCCTGATGAAGAGGTCTGGATGTAATATTTCTTCTCTTTAAAAATAATTTCATTCATAGCATTTCAACATAAAGTTCAGGAATTGACTCATTTGTCAATGCTTTTTTGTATAATGAAATAACTGCTTCTTTTTTTTTTATTTTTTAGCCAGAGGCCAGATATTGTGTAGGCAACATAATCAAACTATGTTAAGATAGCTTTTAAAAATCTTTCTCCTAATTTAGAAAAACAGATTTTTAAAAAATATTTCTGTCACTGAGTATTTGGGTGTAGTAGTTGGACTAAAATATAATGTTACTTATTTTAGGAAAACTTTGAAGGGAAACAAAATCCAAGAAAAATTCTTCTGGATTATATAGCCTAACACATACATTGTAAAATTACATTTACAGATTGAACCCAAGGTTTGTACTCTATATTGAAACAATAGCAAAACAAAACTCCCAAATGTGGGAAACGTAGTTACTAACCTTAACCCTAACCCTATACCCATATTATAGTTGAATGTTTCCTTTCTGTTCACTACATCTTAAAATGGAGCAGACATACTACCAGATTAAAAATGGATCCCGGCGCTTTCTCCCAAGCATGTTGCTCTGATTTATTACATGACATTACATAAGTGAAGTGATTTCTCTAGGACTTAGTGTCCTTGTGTGTGAAATGGGTATGATCATAATGATAATATCTACATTATCAGGTTATGTAGTCTGTGTACATCAATGCAGAGCATAGCACTGTAAGTGTTCAATACAAGCTAGTCGGACATCCATGGCGATGGTACCACCTGGGTTACCACAGTGCTGTCCAGCTGAACTTTCTGTGATGACAGCCAGTTCTGTTCTGCACTGCCCACTCAGCAGTCGTGAGCCATCAGTGGCTATGAGGCCCAGTGATACATCTTGTTCCGATAAAGAACTGAATATTAACTGTAGTTTGTTATTAATTAAAAATGACATAGCCATTGAGGGCAATGGCTACTATCTTGAATAGTGGAGGTATTTAGGGGTAAAAGTGTAACTTTCTCTTATGTGATGTTAATAAGCATCTGTAGAAACTGCATTTGACACCAGTATTGTATTCGATGGAATAATGATGAATTCTTTCCTTATTGTTCCCTGATGCCAAGTTCCTTTTTTCATCTTAATAAAAAACACATGGCAAGTGGGAAAACAGGTGGAAAGGAAAATTAGACCCTGGCAGTATGTACCGGGTGATTTATTTCATGTCAGGTATGTGTTCTGCTCCCCACCTCCACTCCTCTCTTTGGAACTTTTTATTTTCTTTGATCATTTCCTTTGCTCTCAAGTTCTCCTTCTGTTCTTTTGGTTAGTAATTATGAAGAACATGCCCAACTGGAGGACGAGGATCTTACTTATATTTTTGTACAAAGCAAAGGGGATGCGTAAATTTCATTTGCAGTGCTCACTTGCTTCCAGATTCATCACATTTTTTTCAGAAGTCTTTTAAATAAAGTAAGTCACCCCTATAAGTTCATGGCTTCAGGGAAATACAAAAGCTTATTTTAAAATATAATGCTGTAGGCAAACTCAATTTGGTGAAAATCGCAAGAGGTAAGTCATGACAATAGTGATAGAATTCTTCCTGATAACTGCAGCCTCTGTTCCTCGAGGGTTATCACGCACGGGCAAAAGTACAAAGCACCACCGTGCCGTCCCAGAGGTTTACTAACGCGTGTTTCCACTGGAAGCCAGCCTTTGTCTTTTGGCCACCTCAGGAAATATAGCACAAGTGGCCTCCTAGCTAGGTTATGGTGAAACAACTTGTTATAGTTTTCCTGTTTTTCCTATTTTGAAGTTTCTGGTATTAAACCTCTGGCCTTTGGCTTAAACATTTCTTGAGTCAGGTCAACCTCATTTTCTCCTTTTCAGAAATCTAGTGCAGTGAGGGTCTGAAATGTGAAGCACCAGGCTTCAGAGTGTGCAAATTTTGCACATCTCTGGGGTTGACCAGCCGTTAGAGAGGCAGCTAATTCTTGCAAGTGAGAAATAAAATGCTCCTGGATGCAGGGAGGACTTTCCGCAAATTTCCCTGTTTATTCAAACACTTATTGTAAATACGTATTTCCGGAAATCCTTTTCATCTGGCTCCATAGCTACTTCTAAATAAATGTGGCAATAAATAAGCAGCTTTGACAAGAGGTGCACCGTGACATATACACATGTAGACATATGTATGTATGTCAGTATAGACATACGTACGTTGCATATTTACAGGCCCGCAAAAGCAAAACACAGTGATAAGCATTTGGGAGCACAGGTGGAGCGTTCAGCAGACAGCGCGGTACTAGAGAGGACAGAGGCTGGAGTTCCACCCAACCTCTGTTCTCTTCCCCATGACTGTGCCGGTGAACTCCACCAGCTGCCCTTTGCGTATGTGCTGCTCTTCACCAGAGGGCGCTGTGTGCAAGTAGTTGAACAAGTAAGCAGCGCAGCTCCGCACTGCTGGTGGGACAGAGCCAATCACCGCTCTCCAGTTGTTGGCGGGCAAGCAGCAGCATCTTTGTGAGTGCAGGGCAGAGTGCGAAGGCTCTGGGAGCGCATTACTCGCTCAGGACTTGCACTGTGAACAAAGCGGCATTGGTGTTGCTTCGCCTCTGCGCTGCTGCTTTATCTAAGAAGCCACGTGTACTCAACCCATGCACTGGAAGAAGGCATGCATAAATGGAAATTTTACCTTGCTTTCATACTAAATGAAAGAGAAGAGAAGGGGGAAAAAAAGACAATTTACTTGTAATTGCATTTTCATTTAGTATAACAATAAGCTGTAATCATGAATCTTTTAAATATCTCACAGAGAAGGACTATAAAATACTGTCAAAGGAAAATAGACATATGCCATTGAAGTAAAATTAGAATTCAAAGACGACCAATTTCCATACTTTTCTCTTGAACAACTTTTTATTTTGGAATGTGAATTTAAAGCCCTTCCCTTTATCAGTAATATGGGAAAATGCACAAATGTAGTATCTGTGCTTACAACTCTTCCTTTTTGAGCTTAACAATATGAGTAAAAATAATTTATTTGTCATATCTTTTGTACTTTATCGTACTGCAACTCTGTGAACAATATAATTTGTTTCATTTGTCAGTTGCAAGTATAGATCTTTTATTTTGAAAAAATGTGCCATCTTGTAGCAATATTATACTTATAAAATGCTATATTGAGAAGGTAAAGACATGTTAATAATAAAGACTTATTAGATATATGGTCTCCAAAATAAGACATAAGCCCTTCTCAAGTGAGTTAACATCATAGATGATGTCTGAAAATCACTATGATGGTTAAAAATCATTACTTGAATAAGCAAAGCCAGTTTCAGATAGGCTTATTTTTGTTACTATATTTAATATTTAGTAGAAAGTAGTTAATGATTTTGCAAAGAAAACCTGAGATTTGAAGAATTACTAGATTCTTTAGTATTTAGTTCAGTACCTGGGACGCAGTAGATGGCCAATAGACACTGGTTGAGTGCCTGTTTAGTAAGTTGGTTTCCAGGTAACAGTGACTGTATATCACTGCTCATATACTGGTTTGCAATTATTTTTCTGACTTGACACCCTGAATTTGTAACCACAGCACAGAGGAATACACTCTGATGGAGCTGAACGCACATCCAGTTTATCTGGGAGCTTATCAACTTGCACCTTTGAAAGATTGATAGACAATCTAACCAGCAGAGCTCCCAACTAAAATATTCTGAGATTTTGCCAAATGTAACCTGCCTTTTTAGTGTAGGAACATCGAAATGAGAATTAATACACATTAAAAATCACCAAACTAAGCAAAACATAAAATTAAAAATATGATACTCTGGTTCTACTAAAACTCATATGGTTTAACCAAATCAACTTACTCCATTCTGATCCAATTTAGTTAACATTTATTGAGTACCATATACTCTATAGGTTGTATTTCTGAAGTTTTATGATAAATAGTAAAAAAATACCATGTGAGATATTTTCTGACCTATTTAGTTATCTATTTTTTGCACTAACTGAACTACAAGCTAATGATGTCTTCCTATTCTTCCAGTTAAAAAGCACATGTGAATTTTAAAAAAAATACCTTAGCATGGGCAGGAAGATAACTAACACAGTTCCAGTATTTGGCACATGGGAAAGCCCCTATATGCCATTATGATGCTAATGCTTAGCAATAAAATAGGTTATACTCACAGTACCCTGGAACACTAACTAATTTTCAGAACACTAAGCAATGTCAAAGTGCTATTATCTCTGGTGAAAGTGCCAGCAGAACACCAATTACAAGACCCACATTCAACACCAGCTTCCACCTTTAATTACTTTCATAATTCTTTTCAGCAGGTGCCTAGGAGGGAAATAGTGATTCTAATCCATCTCTTGAACGAAGATGTCAGGTTAATCCTTTGGTTGTTAAATACTGGTGTTGTTCTGAGGTGCAACATGAGTTTTTATTTTTATTTTTTGATTAGGCTGTTCTGCAGCTAAAGGTCGGATGACATTCCTATGGTAATCAAGCTTCAGAACTCTAGTGAGCACAAGAGCCATTTAATTAAAACCTGATTCTTAGCTTTAAATGTATGCTAAATTACCTCAAGTTTCTCAGGGTTGGCAGTCCACCAAAATATATCTTGTCATCAGCTTTCAAATCAAGACCAAAGTTATTTCCAGAAGATGAAGTTGCTATGTTCTCCTCCTGGTTAGTATCAGTATCTACAATTGATATATTGGCTGTAAAGGGGATAAAAAAGTTTAACATTTAATTTGAGTGATATCAGCCATGCCTGCATTATTGCTGATACTTCAAGGTAACTATAGTTTTATTAATAAGTTAACACCAAACTGTGGGAAGGCACTTATACTATACTTCATGGTTTCATAACTGCAGAAACAATAGCATCGATAAGATAAGGTGTTAAACTATCCACAAAAGAGAGTAGAGAAATAATGATTAGAACATAATAAAGGCAAACTAATGACAACAAGAAGGAAAAACCTGGATGGACTCAAAAACCACTTTATACAGTTTTCCATAATGCAGGCAGGTTGGCAGAACATAAGCATTTAAAATGAGTAGCAAATTGGGAGTTAATTAGAAATATGCTGACTGTGTGTATCTTTCTGTAAATTTCAGCATCCAAAGGACTACAGTTTTCAGGCTCAGGGGTAAAGCACTCCTCCCTCGTGTGTTACAGCTGAACATGAGTGTGGAGGGCTTGCGCTGTTCGGTTCTGGAGGACAGTGGTATCCCTGAGAGTGAGGTGCTGTGAGCGAGGCATGGTCCTCATGCCTTACTGCTTTTCTCCTGTGTCTCTCAAGGTATTGCTAACAGGATGAAGGTCAGAATTTAGAAACAAAAAGGAAGGCTGGAGGAGGAATGTCACTGCTCTGCATTACCAAAAGAGCAGCCGGGAACGTTTTATGTCACTGGTCGTCCTCCTTCACTTTTAAGGAGCAAAATACACTTTTTCTGACTTATGAGTTTTCTCATCATGCCATCCACATACACTCAAACTTCAACTATGTCACATGTTTTGAACTTCTTATTCATATGGAGATATCAATTCATTAAAATGATAGTCTCTATCTTTGCTTGATACAAAATGTGAACACCCATAAATGAAACAAGTCAGACTCACATGTGTAAACATCATATTGTCTCCCTAGTGTAAGAAACTGAACGAGTAAATAAGATCCAAAAGGTGCAATAGATATTGTGAAAGAAATGAAAGTGCCCAAAAAGGAAAGGACAATTGGGATGGGGTAAATGAGAAAAGAAGGAATATATATATATAATTTCTATTAGTGCTACTAATTTTTTTAACTTTTTTTTTTTGTCTTTTTGAGACAGGGTCTTGCTATGTAGTTCAGGCTGGCCTTGAGCACACTTTGTAGCCCAGGCTGGTCTTGAATTCACAATGATCCACCCGCCTCAGCCTCCCGAGTGCTGGGATTACAGGCGTGCACCACCATGCTCAGCTAGTACTGTTAATTTCTATTAGTTCATTGAAAAGGGTAGTTAGTGTTTATATTATTTGATCAATCTTACATGCCTATACCTGGTAATCTGAATAATGCTTTGAAGATAACAATATGCCATATAATAACCATTGTTAATTTCCTGTCATCTTGTTTTGAAATTCTGTGACATTGGTTTTTTTTTTTATTGTCTTTAAAAAATGTGAATTATCTTGGGTTTGAAAATAGGCATTTGAATCAACACCTTATCAGAAGCTTTCTAAATGTTCATTTTTGGGAATCCTAGTTTCGTGGATATCCCTGGTTCCAGTAAACATGACAAATAGTGAAACAAAGTTCATACATATCTCAACTTTATGGCTTCCCAACTTTTTGGCCTTGCTGCAGTGCAATTCTAAAAGAGGTAAATGGACCAAGAAGTTTTTCCAAATTGGTTGGACCATGGAACAGTATATTCTATCAACTCATTATCTTTCAGAAATAATTTTCTTTGGGAAACACAAAGAAATATTAAGTTCCAAAATTCCACCATGTTCCATATGACTACCAGTCCAAAGAATGTGTGATAACTTCAAACACAACTGCCATATGAATAATGTCCATAATCAAACACCAAACCTATTAGCACCTCAAAAGTTTTGTAAAAGTAAACAACAAACACATGTAAAAAGAATAATTGTCTCATTAAGAATGATTTATCAAGTTAAGATTTCAAAAGTTAATTACCTTCATAAACTTTAATTTCTACACATATGTAATTACTTTCATACCTATAATTATTTTTGTATATTAATATCCTTTTGAGTGACCTGGTGGTTAGATATATAAAACTGTTTCTAAGACTTCGTCTCACATATTCTTTTTTATTCAGATAAGAAAGAAGTTTTCATATGGTGATATTGACGGGAACATGAAAATAGTCTCTTTCTGCAGGCTTGGTGGATATTTTAATGCTGTCTGTGAAATGAGATTCTGCCTCTAGCACTGGCAAGCCAGTGACTGGAGCTAGGGAGCTAGTTTTCCTCCTTATCCCTGAGTGGATATATGCATTTTTAGAAATCATTCTAAGAAAATTGATTAAGGATCAGCAACACAATTCAATTGAAACTGGCCGCAAACTTGACCCTGACAGAGAGGTGTAGGGTGGTACATTATTACTAACTTAAAGGAAAAGTTTTCCTCTCTACCTCTTGGGTGATAGCAGTAGAGAGGCTTCTGTTGGGAAATGCTAGCAAATGCTGATATTACTTTTATTTCTTGCTCTATTTCTTTTCCTTACAGGATAGGAAAGTAAGCTATTAATGCAAAATTACAAAGGTGAGCTCAGCCATCACATTCATGGGTAAGCAGGGAAATAAGGGTTTTATTAAACAATGGCCACAGAGAAGTATTAACAAGTGCATTAACAAGGGTATTAACAAGTGATTTTAAAATCAGTGCTGAGTTGTTATGAACGAGTTGCATTTAATTTGGCAATTCTTTTCTTCTCTCTGTCTTCTCCACTCTGCTTCCATATCAGTGCCCTTGGGGGTATAACACAGTCATAAGTTACTAATTGTGATAAGGACCAAAAGGTGGCCTTGGGGTGTCACACACTTATTAGTGACAGAGTTCCCCTAATTGACTCTTAAGGTGGGTAGGGAAGGCCTATCTGAAGGAATGTATTTGATTTTCAAAAGGCAGTGGTTTTTCAAACTAGCTGAGAATAAATAATTTAAAACAAGGAATCCAAACACTAAAAGAAGCAATAGCACACACTGCAGGGGCCTGGTTTGAATACGTATCACAGTCCTCAGTGCGCTCTGATCTTGCTACAGTACTTGAGAGCTACCTCACCTGGTTCTCCTTGCTTCTCTGACAACCCTTTCTCCAGACCCAGCAGAGGACTTTGGGTTGTTACCATGACATTTATGCAGTACTTGAAATTGCTAGCATTTCCATCCTTTTGGGAAATTTCTTTCTTTAGCTTAATGTGTCAAATTTTCTACTTTTTCTTCCCTCTATTCTTGATCTCCTTCCCTATTTCTTTGAACACTTCTGGAATGCTGCACTGATATTCCCAACACTCAGGTTTTTATCTTCCTACAATATGTTGCTCACTAAACAATTTATGCACTTGGACCTGATTTCTTTAACCTAAAAATTCATAATAAATGGAGAAATACTATTATGTGTATTTTCTTTCAATGCTATCCACATTCCAAATTGAAATGATGATCATTTTACCCTCAAATATATATCACTTATTTTTTGCAATATTGGGCCTTGACTCTAGGGCTTTCACACTGAGCTAGATTCCCCATCCTTTTAATTTTTCTTTTTCTTTTTGAGATAGGATCTCTCTAAGTCACTAAATTGGCCGGATTGGGATGGAACTGGCAGTTGTCCTGTCTTAGCCTCCCAGGTGCCAGGATGGCAGGTTTGTGCCCCCTCACTGGCTTGTACCACTTGTTCATTTGGTGGCAGTGTGATGCTCACCCACTTTCCTAATCTAGAAAGTAATCTTCACTGTTCAGATTTAATCAGCCTAATGTGGGCTTGCTTTTTTTTGTTTTTATTTTTAATTCTCCTTAATGGTTTGATCAATCTTGCGTTCTTACATCTGGTAATCTGAGCAACTTCCTTGAGGATAGCGATATGCAATATGACAGCCACTGTTAATTCCTATCATTATGTTCTGAAGCCCTGTATCACTTTTATTGTTTTGTTTTTGTCTATGTCGTTGGTATTTTGCTACTGTTGTCTTTTATTATTCTCTTTAAAATTAAAAAAAAGATTTAATCAGCCAATACCCTTAGGAATTGCTGACTAGCTCAAATATCTATGCTGCTTTTAAAGTTTTTGTGACATACTGTATTTTGCACTTGCAACCTAACAAGATTTGGAATCCATGTACACCTATGGAGCTCAGCACCGCAATAAAGGAAATGAAGATTCATTCCTATGACCCCACAGTTTCTTTATGCTTCTTTATAATCCTTCTTTTCCACCCTTCTATGTATACCCTGTCAATGAGTAGCCTCTGTTTGCTCTCTGTAACTGAGCATTAGCTTGCATTGTGCATATAATTTTACATAAATGTATTCTTTTTGTCTCCATTACCTCATTCAGAAATTATTTTGATATTCATCTATTTTCATCTATACTGTAGTTTTTCTTCTTTTACTTTTTATGACCATCTAGTATTTCATTGTATGAATAAACTACCACTGCAACATTTACCTGTTGATAGATGTCTGAGTTGCTTTGAGTGTTTGAATACCACAACCAAAGGTGCTCTGCATGATACATACATGTCTTTGCAAAGCTAGTATGCTTTCCTGTGTTTTAGGTGAACACCTAAGAATGGAGTAGCTGATTCATATGGCATGTAAACCTGGAGACTTTTTTTTTTATGATTTTATACTTCCATCAGCAATGTGTAAAACTTTCAATTTCTCTGGCATTTTGCCAACACTGGGTATGATCAGTCTTTTACATTTTAGATATTCAAATAGCTGTGTTGTGGTAACACATTTTGGATTTATTTCCCATCTTCCTAATGTTGAATCCAACTGTAACTCTTATTTCAGTGTTTTAATTGTGATCATTTAATATTGCTATGACAAGTAAGTGACTATATTCTTGTAGTCTTTTGACACTGGATTTCTCACCTATATATAAGCACAATATATTTGTTTGTCTTTTGTGAACTATTTGCTTATAACTTTTGCTTTATTTCTCTTATGGTTTCAATGCTTTCATTTCTAATGGAAAATCAAATTCATGTTAATTGACCTGCTGGAATAGTAAAACACTTCAAAAGTTTCAGGGACTATACAGTATATGTGACAATACATATGGAAAGACAGGCTAGCTATAGTTGTTATGATAGAAATCTCACTTATTTGGTTTGAAAAGTTGGTGGTGAAACATCAGCGATAACAGAGAAAGGGGACAGACACAGGCAGGAGAAGGTAAAAGTTCCAAGTGTAATCTGAAAATCAAATTTCTGCACAACTGAATCTCATAGGATACATGTGACTTTAAACAACGGTGATACTGTGGCAGTGCATGAAAAGAGATTGTAAGACATTTCATATAATTAAATTGTAAATGAAAGGGAGGATGATTGCTCTGCACATGTGGTAGAAGCATTCAAGACTGCAGAAGGCAACGGTCTAGACTCAGTCTGAAGCCCACGGAGGATGCTTATGAAAGAGAAGCTACCACACAATTATGCCGAAGGGGTGAAACCAGGTTAAGAGTAAATGGAAGACACTGTGTAGGGTGAGGAAAAGTCCCTTCCAATGTCTGGACTCCATGGTAATAACAATGTGGGTCTAGTGAAGGTCTGGAAAATCACACCAGTTGGGGGAAGAGCCTCCACACCGTGGACCGTGCGAGTTGATTTCTTTCGGGTTTATGCAGTCCTATAACTTGCCCTTGGACCCACATTGTTTAAGACCATAGACCCCTTAAGTACTTGTTTCCAGGGACAGAATCATAAAGTCTGGACATCACTCTGATTGTAGGAATCATATTGACAAGGTGTCAATTTCTGGAAATTATTCTCTTACCCGGTTGAGTCGGTCTATCTTTTACACTGTAGATTTACCTACCTCAGTACTACAGTTAGAGTTTGCAGCACCCCGCACACAGTCCAGGATTCCCGTATCTTTCTGCATTTACCTTTGGCACCAGCATATCCGGTTTTCTTCTTTCTTTAACCCTGTTATTTGACTGTCTCTTCCCTGCTACTATTTACTCTTTCATACTCAATAAAAATGTAGGGTCTCGGGAAAATTATCTCAAAATGTTATTCCATGTCTACCAATTTATCTCTGCCTTTTTTTCCCTCCTTTCTCATCCTCTGGTGAGGAAAAAGGATTTCTCATTCTCTCATGCAGGTGCTTTCTCTTGTCTTGAGCACACTTTCTAAGGGCCTGTATTACAGTGTGCATGACTCTTTCCTTTTATATTTCCTGTTGTTTCCTCTTTACTAGCACATGCTTCGCAGCCTGACAACATGATCAATATCATTCTTCCCCTAAAAAAAACACTTCCTGAGCATTTACTATGTCCTAGGAACTGATGGAGAAAACCACTAGGTTGTTGCCTCAAAACCCTTACCCTCCGCCTCTGCATCCCCTTTCTTAGCTGCTGCCTTTTCTTTTATTCTCAGTTTTACAGGCAAATTTCCTTTGGAACTCGTGTACACTCACTGTATCTGTTTTCCCACAGTGTTTTATGCTGTGATGCTTGGCTGTGGTCCCTCACTGTGACTACCCTTGCCAAAGCCTCCAGTGATCTCCACATCTCCAAAGCTGATGCCTTGGTTCGTGTCTTCTGTGAGCCTTCTCTACCATGAGAAAGTCAAACTGGATTATCTTGGAAACCCTTTTGTTTCTGTAATGTCAGGCTTTCTGAAAGATTTATTTCTGCTTTCTCTGATTGTTTTTTACTGTCTCCTTTATTGAGTCTTCCTTTAACCTACTGTTTTAATATTTGAATGTTCCATGCCTCTGGTTCATTTTATCCTAGACACGATTGCTTGGTTTCCTAAGCCCTGACCGGATGCTACCATCGGGAAGGTGATTATGACTCCTAGATTTTCCTCTTTCTGCTAGAACTCTGTGAGCCTCTGGTAAATATAACTAATTACACTGCTTCCTTAGGCTGCTACTGGTACTAAAAGTACCTTCAATACAACATGTGCAAAATAGCACTCAGCATCTTTTACAGAAAATCCCATTATTTTTCGGGCATTTAATAGGTTCTTGAATATCATCGACATAATCATATTATCTAAGAAGGCAGAAGAATGATTCAAGATCTCTTTTTTATACTTAGCCTTCATATCCAGTACACCGCAGAGCCTCTCAACATTAAGATGCTTAGTGTCTTCCAACTCTGTTATATCCTGACCTCCTTATGATTACTAACTTATTTTTAATTTCCTTTGCTGTTTGCCTAGTTTACTGCTGGTGCTGATTTTCCACTGTCCTATACCTATACTCCAGGTTGGTGCAAAAACTATTTCTTTAAAGCATGCGTCTGATGATGTCATACCTTAAAGACTCTCATAGTCCCTGTACCTGACCTCGTTTGCTTCGCTCACAGGGCTTTTATGTTCTGGCTCTGTTATCACAGCCTCATCTGATGATTTTCTGCCAACCACCATTCAGTTAGCCCATGGATCCACTTGTGGTGTTTATCAAAGTGTCTTCTGGAGGATGCTAGTACTGCAGGGATGGGATGGTATGACAGAAGTTTGGGAAGTGCTTGCTTAAATAAGGTAGGCATTCTTTTTCCTGGACAGCAACACGGAGCTTGTAATAGGTGCATGTGCACCGTGCCTCTTACGTGGGAACAGCAGATGCAGTGGCAGCGCTGCAATGTATAGGTGCCCAGGGTTAGTTTTTGTCTCTGCTGAGCATTCTCCCCAGGGTTTCCTGTTCCAAGAAGATGCGATTGGAAATGACATACTCTGTTTTGTGATGGCTCCGGGCTTCCAGACTGTCGTCACTACAAAATCTCCACATGCTTGTCATCCAGCTAATTCTTCTCTGCCTGCTTGCACATCAAGAGCTGGGAGCTCGCCTCCCCTTTGACTTAAATGTCTCCCTTCTGCGACTGCACATCTCTTCCAGAACCAGCTCTCTATCCTCGCTCCCCATTAGACTGCACGTTCCTCGAAGGCAGCGACTTGCGTTGCACCTCATTTAGTTCTTGCACAGTACTTAGTAGCTGCGTGACAGATATTTTTTAAATGCAGGAATGAAAAGTGGTGCAAGGGCAAATCTAACTTTTCCTGAAATGTCACTTTAGTGTCATCAACATTAATGAGGTCTATTTATATTAACAATAACATCAGTTTCATCTGTAAGTATCAGGAATACCATAGCACGCAGAAATAAAGGAATTATACCTAGGTAGCAAGAATGCCATGCTCAGAACGAATAGATTTGGCTTTCTGTCTTGGTTGTGAGATCTTATTCATGTCAGTCACCAGGTGTAAGTTTGAGTGTATGTTTTCTTTTCTCTAACAAGAGAATAAAAAATTTGTTTATATTATAAATGAAATAATGCTTGTGAACATGTTTTTTAGAATATGAGAACCATCAAGATGTTGTGGTATAACTGATCAACTATTTTCTGGAAATTTTGATCTTTTTAAAAAGCAAAGAGCTGGTAGCAAGGGCCTAGCTTATAGATTCTATTGTGGGTGGCTTAAAGGAAACACCTTGGCAAAATTGGAAGAAAGAAAAGCACACAGCATTTTTCAAGCCTATGACAGGATGTAATTTTACAAGTTGGAAGACAGTTTTATGCTTTCAAATTAAGCTCTCAGTTTCCAAAGAAAATGACAGAGAGCCATTCGGCTCTTCAATCAGTCTTGCCTAATGCAAACCACCTATAATCTAAACCAAAGAAATGACTGTATCAATTTTTCACAGAACTTGAGAGTAGCTAAAATTACTGACAAGGTCTTTCCCTTGATTAGGTTCATGGGTGCTTCACCTGGCATGATTCAGGTCCATACTGCCTTATTACTATAAAAACTCACCTTGTTTTTGAATTCTTGACAGGGTGAAGGATTTCCATTTACCATCATTATGGTTTTGATTGCTGACAACGGAAGCCATTCCTGAACCCAGATCATAGCTGACTTTTATGTGTCCATCAGCGAGCTCTACGCTCATGAAATCTTTCTAGTAACAGAGTAAAAATGTATCAGTGATTACATAGACAGAGAAATCTACGGGTGTGCACTCCGTTATGGGGTTCATTATATGGCCTTCTGGCTAACTTGCCGACCATGTTACACTGTCACAGAAACACATTTGGGAAATTGAATTGCTAATACTATTTTGGAAGTTTTGCAGGTGTGATGTTACGGTGTAAGTGGTCCTGACCAAGTTATTTGGACATATTTTCTATTATGGTAGTACCAAATGGGTTCCTTGAACACATATTAAGCAAACAGATGATTTGTTCCCTGAAAGAATTTACAAGAAAAAAAAACATGAGATTCAAGAATATTTAGAATCCTCTCTCAACTAGAAAAAAAGTTTTGCTGCTGCATAAGTCTATACTGGAAATATCTTTGCTGGCTGCTTCTCTGGAAGGCTTATGTGAGGAGACACACTGAAAATCAATGGTGATTCAGTTGTACCTGTGATTAAAGTTATCAACAGAAATACGTGCTATCTCATCATGGAGTTCTGCCTACCATGAATGCAGTCTAGATTTCTTTTAATAGCAGATACTTTTACCAGTAACTGAAAATTGTGTTGGAATTCTATAAAAAAAAAAAGAAGAAGCAGCAAATAGACGCTCAACCATGGAAGATCTTCCGTGTGTGTGATCTTTACCAGGTCTCGTGTGGCAAGGTACATCAGGAGAGCACTTGATGAAAATGTCCGGAACTTGAACATGACAGTGGAGATATTGGGGTACCAGCGAATGGGGCGGCTGACCAATGCATAACCCTCTCCGTCAAACTGGATAGTCCCTTCACTGTCTTCCACCTGGGGACTGGAAAGAAACATTTTAGAGGGATTAAGCCTACTTGGTCTACATGGTGGGTTATTATTCAATGCATCCAACCATCCTCTGGGACTAGATCACAAGCTATTGTATGGCAGGAACTGCCCCAAATATATCTTCCATCCTTTGCTTCTCTTTACCTCCACTGCCACCATCTTAGACCAAAACTATCTCTCACCTGGGTTTCCTTAGGTGTCTGAAAACTACATCGTTGGTGCTTCAAATGCTTCATGTTTTACTTGGAGAGTTTCAGTGGTGGTTAGTGATATTTGTGATATTTGTTTTAGTGATATTTGTGCAAACAAATGAAGTTTTATATTGGTCAAGATTCCATTATTACACAGTATATGTATATATATAATATACAATACGATATATAATATTATTATATAGTATATATTATATAATTTTATAATATTATTATCATTATTATATATATTATATATCACAATGCAATATAGGCCCTTAATCTGGATACTCAGCATCCAACATGTTACCTGACAGATTAGATTCAGATAATGAAGGATGACTGATGTGTGTGTGTGTGTGTGTGTGTGTGTTTTAAATGTGTCTTCTTTACTTCTAGTGAAGTTCTAGAAGCTCTAGGACATCATGAAAAAATTAGGGTCCAATCCCAATGCCAGGCACAAACTCAGCATCAAGCCTGACACTTGGTTTACAGAATCCACTAAGCATTTGTGGAATAAAGGAGATTACAGTATTGAAAAGCACTACACAGAGAATATTTGTCAATCAAAATTGGTTGAATGAATATCTAAGATAGGTCTTATGGATACAATACTTGAAGAAATTTCAGATGTGAGGTTATCTATCTACAGTATGTCTGTCTTTATGTCTGTTTGGTGTTGCTGCAAAGTAAGTCTCAATGGCAGGGATATTTTTTCAAACTTTCAATGTTTACATATTAGCATAATTTAACCCCTGAAATTGGAGAGTTTACTAGCTCGAAGACAGAGGCAGCTGTTTAGACATATTATGGTTTTATCACTGAATGACAGGAACCTGGACCTTTTTATGAAATTATAGCTAATGAGAAAGTTTACAGAATACAAAAATTAATAGTCTTGTGTAGGAGGAACAATTACACATTCTCAACAAGCTGGTTTTCTCTCTGGACTAGACAGAAGTGAAACACTAAAAACAACATAAAAGATGCTTTTTCAATATTTGTAAAAAGTGCTAACTGGAAGGCTGAAGAAGTAAATGAGTCTATCAACAGTATAACTAATAATGACTAAATTGCCCATTATTTAAACTTCCTTTATCATGATAATAAATAGATTAATTTCTGGAGCATTGACTCAGAGACAAGAGAATGTAGCAGAGAACCTATATAAGAGATGTTCCTTGAAGTTCTGTATTAACTAGGATTTTCCATTAATACTATCATGCTATCGATGCAAGCCTAGGAAAGGGATGTAAGGGGTCCCCATGTACTCCTTTCTGGATGCTTTGGCTTAATATATTCTTACTTAGAATTTTAAAAGTTATAATATACAATATGAGGCTAACTTGGTGGAATCAAAGCAAAACACATTTATTTTTCTTATAAAAAATTTAAGACATTTATATGTTCATGTCCATATGTCCCTAATCTGTGAACTCCTTAATGTGTACTAGATCATATGAGAGGTATATTGGAGTCTTTTACAAACTCTCTGGAAGGCCTTGTTGAAAGTCACTTAATACTTCATGCCTGAGCATCTCAACCGTGAGATGAAAGGTTGAACCAGCCTATGATTCCTGAAACCTCTTCCAATGAGAACACTTGGGACATGCTCCTATTCTAGCAAAAGACAAACCTATGGAAAAGAGTTTTATGCTGAGAGTGATCAGACATCCTAATGTACAAGAGTCTTCTTCACTTACTCCATTAGCTCATCCTAGCCAAACAAGAAAAGTTTAGCCCCAAAACCGGTGAGTTTGGGGTAGGGAAAAATAAGAGTTCTTCTTGGTATATTCCATAATATTTCACCATTATATTGAAGTTTTCCTATTTGTTTTCAGTACATTTACTGGCAAAAATAAATACTCTTTTATGATTAATAAATGCAGAGCACCTTAACTTGCTTTCTGTCTCTTTGTTAAACCTGGATGTCTGGTCAAGTTAGAACGTATTAGTTATGCACTTTGGAATATCCCTGTTCTTCCTCATGTAACTTGTTTACTATAAAGCTGCATATATATTGGGTTTTAGAATCTAAAATTTCATCATCATTTTAATATTCAGTTAAATAAATTTTACTGATAATAATTGTTTTGTATTTTAACCTCAATATGATTTTCAGAAGTTTGAGAAAAATGGAACAGTTTTTGTGTAACCCTGAGAGATTAATCCCTCTAAAACACAGAGATAGTTATATCCCTTATTGACCATTGATAGATGCAAATTTCTAAGAAACATTCTAACATCTTCTCCAACATTTTCCCCCTACCTCTTTGAGTCTCATCTTTGACACCTTTCCCATAAAATAATTTTAGCTTTTTAAATTGAGTGGTTGATCTCTATGTTAAAATGCAATGAATGTTTTCCTGAAAACAAACACCAAGCAATACCAGAAAATCTATAGGAATTAATCTTATGGGAACCAGGGCTTATGGGAAAATTGTATTGGGGTAGATCTCTTAAAACTTATGCAACTACATAATCAGGCAGTCACAAAGACAATAACAATGCTCTTCAAAATATTTACACACTCAGATACAGACATTAAAAGTTAAAAATATGGAATTATTTCAGTAAATAAAACTTCACCTTAAAAGGAGAAAATGAAGCTAGTTTAACAACAAATGGAATCCGAAGGGTAGGATCCCTACGTGCTGACTGACAGAGATGTGACAAAAACTCCCAAGGACAGAGGAGACCTGGGAAGTTGGCACTTCCAAGATAGAGGACGTGGCTGAAGCAAGTGGAGGACAATTACACTGGTGAAGTGGCACTGTGTGTGGGCTGCATTTGGACAGAGAGCTCTGGAGCTGGGTGTGTTCAGCTTGCTGGTTTACTTTGCATTCCACTACCTTACTTGGAGGTGGAACTCATTAGTACACTTGGATGGACTTATCAGAGTCCTTCTCCCATTTGCCAACCCTGTATGAGAATATTTTGCACTTTTTCTTTCCTGCACACATTTCTGGCTGTCTGGTCTCCCTACACTGGTTCTTTGGTCTCTAACACTTAAACGCTGTCCATATTCCACCTGCTATTTATTTCCATTGAACTCTAACTCAATGTCAAGGCTCATCTCAGATGTCACCTCTACAAAGCAGAGCTTGATGTCCTAAATTCAACGTGAATAATCATGGTATCCTCTTTACCTTTTAAAAGGGATTTTAAAGTATGTTTTGCACTTCAACTATTTTAGTGTCTGTCTTGTTCTCACATCCTTGTAATAAATTTCTTTATGCCTGGGATTGGATTGGACTAATTGTAGTATCAGGAAGTTGTAAGCATAAACCTCAGTCACCTACAAAACACTCTATGAATATACAGGAATGCTACTGCAATTATATTAACTAGAGTAATATGCTATACATTGGAAGTACAACATCTTTGCAGAATTGATATTATAGCCTTGCATGATATGCACTGCTGACTGAACTTTATCTTTTAGATATTTTACTGGTAATAGGCATTTGAACATCTTACCTAAAATGTACCAAGGAAATCATTAGGGAAAACTGGTAGTTATTTATGAGAGTGGAATATTAATGTGGACCTCATGGTTTTTGTTGTATTTTAAGGATTTTACAGACAACCTTCCATAGTAGATTTTATAGATTACTGATGAAACCATCTTCAGTGGGTCAGATTTTCAAAACTGCCCTTAATGCCATGTTGATAAGCACATAAGCCAAAAGAGTATTGGGAGTTAATTATATCCCTTATTGACCACTGGATAAATGCAAATTTCTAAACACACATTCTAGTTATAGCAGAGCTACATTCTTTTATGAATCTCTAGAAATGTTGAGAAGGAAGTGTGAAGTGTATTCTGCTACTTTAATGGGGGATTTGGGTTTTGAAAGTGTATTTGCAACTTTAATTGGAATTTAAAAGTTCAAAATTATTATGTTTGAATTGCTATGTGTGACACATTAAGCTTCTAGGTATTTAATTTGTATTTCATAGCTTTAATTCAATATACTTAAACTTATTTTAGGCTTAAGTAATTAGGGAGCTCAATTTTTACGCTGAGAAATCTAGCTAGTTATTTTATATTCTCCATTCAGTTATATATAAAATATATTCTCTATGCATGCTTTGTATGCTTCTCAATGGTTTCAAGTGCTCATCTCTTATAACTGATAAGAGATGTCTGTTGTTGCCCTTCATGGGTCCTTGTTCTTATTCTCTTCAGCAGGCTGTTAGAGTCCCACGGTTTTCACTAGAAGCCCTTGCAGGACCTTATGTGCCAGTAAGAAAAGTTCTGTAGAAAATAAAACCTGAACTTGGGTTCTGAGTGCATGCTTAATCAGTTTGGGGAGTACTCTCTTTATGAAATAATAATTATCACTACACAGTATCCACACATACAGAAACCCCTAGACGGGAAGGGTCACAGAAGTAGCAAGAGATAGTTCTCTTAATTGACTGTGGTTGAAATGTCTTACCTCTGTAAGTTTTATGAAAACTTATGACCATCTCAAAGCACTGCTATGGCACTCCCAGGCCCCGGGGAAGTGCCTGCATGAATGCAGGCAGGGTACTGACATTTTGTTAGTTTCCTGGTAAATCCACCTCTGAACATCGTCGTTTCAAAATAGCTCCATGTCATCCACAAGACGATAGAATATTGCACCATGAAATAAAAACATTTGTGAAACACAGGACAGATCTCAGGAGATTTTTCATCTCAACTAACCTTACAGTGCATCCTTTGCAGTCACCTTCTATTTCTCGGAAATTCCATAAACCTATAGGTTTGTTGTCAAAGAATGTTTCTCCCATACAGCCCGTGAATGTAATCACACGTACAGCATCAGCTTTCTGCAGAAAGACAGTGTCTTTATTATAATATAGAATTTCACAAATAATCTGGAGGTATCTGTGAGCATTACTACCAGCAGGAGCCAGACAAGTTATTATTTCTTCTGATACTCTTGGTTATATATATATATATATTCCTCTTTTAACTATATTAGATCATCATAGCTTCTCTAAATGGGTCAATGAAAGGAGAAAAGTTCAAATATGTCATCAATGTATCCTGGTTACTTCTGTTATATTACTTTGTCCCCATTAGTAAATGCAATTGTCCCTTGATATCTTCCAGAGGATCTCTCTGAAGCTTTATCTTTCTTATACGAATGGGATAATGTCGGTGCAAAACCTACACACAATCCCCACATGTACTTTAAATCTTCTTTAGATTACTTATAAAACCTAAAATAACATCAATGCTATGTACATAGTTGTTATACTGCATTGTTTAGGGAATAATGACAAGAAAAATATATGCATGTGTTCAGTACAGTGCAATTTTAGTTTTTGAATGGTTTCAAGCTTTAGTTGAATCTAAAAATGGAGAACCCATGGATATCAAGGTCAGACTGTATACACTTCCAAGTGTCTAACTTCGGGCCAGCTGCTAACCTTCTCCATGACTTATCCTTTGGTCTACAACATGGGGTTGCTGTGGGGATTAAATTAGACAGTGTGTTTATGGTCAGCTCAGCACCTGTCACACAGAAGTTTTAGTGTTAGTGCACCAGTGGCACCGTCTCTGGGCAAATCTGGGGCACACATACACTAACAGGGTGTCTGTCTTGGGGCCATGGGAAAGGATCCACACTGAGGATACAAGGGAGCACGGAAGTGTACACACAAATGGCACTCTGATAGCACTGCGCTAAACTTTTCATTTCAAATTACAGCACAGCAAATCTTCCATGCAGCAGAATGAAGAAAACCAAAGCAACTTTGAAAGAAAGGACCAGGTAGATGTTGTTTGCTGGGACTCTACAAATATCTGTTGAATGCCCATTCAGAGAAGCCTGATCTATACAGTTGTCACAAAAGATAAAGTCACCCAGTCCATTCTAGAGATTCTCGTAATTTAACTCAAATAACTGATTGTTTTAGCCTTGGCAGATTACAGATAAATAGCACATTCTGCTACTTATAACTTTAAAAACTCTCTGTAAAAGCTAATCTACATTTAGTTGAATCACCTGGAAAAATGGTAGATTGCCATGTTTGGGTTTTAGAACACACGTAAGAAGATGCACCCTGAATTGGTAAAAAGCTATAATTTCAGGTCAAACCTATCATGTGAACATTTTCCTACTGTGGTGTCCTTGTAACCAGAATGGCGGTGACAGTGTAGGCCAGCATGGTCCTTAGAAATCACCATCATCTGCTGGAGCCTCTTAATTTTCTAGACTGATTGTTTTTTTTTTTTGTTTTTTGTTTTTTTTTGTTTTTTTCTCCGGCATCAGGAACTGAACTCATGACCTCGCGCTTGCCAGGCAGACGCTTTTGCCGCTGAGCTAAATACCCAGCCCCTAGACTGATTGTTGATTATCCTATTTATGGATTCTCCTGGGTTTTCTGTGTCTTCTCAGATCCTGAAATGCTACCCTTGAGAAATTTCCCTGCTCGTTTAAATTTTCATCAGCACTTTCTTTTAGTTACTTGTTTGCATCTTTTCCTAAGAGCCTTGAAACTTTGAGCCACAGTGATTTTAAAAAGAACTTTCTACAGATCTCTTTTGTCTGTCTTCTTTTTATTTCTGAGACTGATATAAAGTTGTTTGCTGACAGTGACATTTGCATAATAGCTCCTGAAAGTACAATTGAGGGTGTAACTACCATGACTTATGGGTTTGTCATACATTTTACACACATCGTCTCATTACTCTTCATGGCTGTGAAGCATGGTCATTTAGAACGGGAGACTCCTATGTTTGGTAACCTGTGCCTAAACCCAAGCTCTGTCACTAAGTATTGTCTAACCTTGGTCAAGACATTTAAATTCTCTCTTCCTCACACTCCTTAACTATAAAATGGGAAGAATATTAGTATCTACTCTATGTTGGTCTGAATGTCTGTGTCCTGCTCAAATTTTTATGTTGAAATCTAAACTTCCAAGGTGATGGTATTAGGAGGTGGGACTGTTGAGAATTGGGAGGTGATTAGGTCATGTGGTTGGGTCCTCAATGGCTGAGGTTAGTGGCTTGTAAAAAAGGCCCCAAAGAACACATCCCCTCCTGTACCATGTGAAGGTGGAGCAATAGGGTTCCTTCCACATGGAACAGGATCCATTAGAGACCAAGACTGCTAGGACCTTGATCTCGGACTCCTCAGTCTCCCAAACTGTGAGAAATATATTTGTTGCTATATTATAAGCTCCCCAGCTCTCTCATATTTTTGTTATAGCAGCCCATATCAACTGAGATGTAACTGGATTTGATTTCAAAATATATGTGTTTTGTACCATCATGTGCTGACCCTATATTTATCTATTATGTACCATATGCAGTAATATGTAGTTTCATGAAGTGAGGATGATTTTAGTGTTGTGGAATCAGTTCCCACACTTTAGAGTCACATCTCATACACAAAGCAAGTAAAACATCCTCACTCCTTATGAAGATCAAGTTCTCATATTTTGGGGTCACCTGGGCTTTTCACATTTTCTAACTAATCTTGTCCCAGGGTGATTCTGACAAGTCCAGGATTATCTATTATATTTGCTTGTACTCTTGCATCTGACCCACAGGTCACTTTGCAATGTCTAATTCCATTTAATCAACATAAGCTTCTTTAGAATGCAGACGCTTTGCTATTTGAAATGCACAAGGACCTGTCATGAAGCAATTATGAATATTAAGTGCACTGCTCTATAAGAATGAGGAAAGAGCAACTGGAAAACTTTTAAAACCAGATCATGCTTTGAAAGCTTATGCCTTCTGTGATATTTCCCATGGTATTCATAAATCTTTTAATTAGATGTGAGTATGGACTTTATAACACTTCATATCTATAAATCATGCATTGATTCAGAAAATGAGGCATACTTAAAAAACACTTTACTATTGAGGCCATGAAAACAAGATTATAAAAAAAAATAGGTGCCACAGAATAGGGCGAGACAATAACTACTTAAGTAAATATGCATAAGCCTAGGAAGAGACATTTCAAGAGTGAATCTCCACAATCTGAAGAGAAAAACTGTTTTTTAAAATACATTCATGTTTTCATAAAAAATGAGTTAAGTAAAACTTGGCTAAGTTATTGCAGAGCTGATTCATGCTTTTTGTCCAAATAATCAGGCCAGGTGTTGTCTATTGTGATGAAATCAAAGAGGTGGGGGAGAGCGCCCTACCTTTAATTTTCCTGTCAAGCCTCCGACAAACAGCATTGCATTTGCGTCCACATCTAGAATGGTGTAGCCCGGGGGAGACACGGAGTGGTAACTACTGGGCATAATACTGGCTTTTGGTCCATCCAGGGCTCTCACCGAAATGGATCCATTTCTGCCCGTTCTTCAAGGGTGCAAGTGGAAATGAAGAGGAAGAGAACACAGAAAATGAAATATGTGTCCTATTTCTGTCCACTTGAGGTTGAAAAGATACACAATATATAGAGAGCTGCTCGGGAACATTTTAGAGATAACTGAGTGATTAGCTTTGAACATTCCAGATTCATTAAATCTCCCATCAGTACTCACAGTCTGATCATTGCTAGATATTTATGGTCAGATTCAGCCAAGACTAGTGCATAACATGCTCTGATTCTGTGCTTCCACTGATAGGATGTGAGATGACACAACAGCTATTAGCTGATGGAAGTGCTATCCTATAGCTCAAGTGGAAAGCCACACTGCTTAGTATAATAATTTACTGTTTTCCAACACATACAATTTAAATGCATTTATATGACCTCATTTTGTATTTTGGCTAATTTAATTCAGCAAGTGAACCTCCACTGAGCCACTCTTTTGCAGTATAAGCTGCATAATCTCCTAAAATTCCTTAGAACATCTTGGATCCAAATTTGCGGAAGCAGTCTTCTTGGAATGGTACATTTTTTATTGTTTGGCACATCATCTTAATGGATATAGTATGTTATCTCGTCTTCAGAGTTGTGTATACAAGTTGTATAGAAGTGCAGTTTTAAATTCAATTAACAGAACTTTGAAAGCTATTATCATTTCATTTCATTTTCTTTTTCAAGTGATTGATTTCCACGAGCTGTTAAATATGAAAATCTGGTCTCTCTTCTGAGACAAGCAGTCATAACAAAGCTTGAGTGTCATATTTTGTTCCCTGCTGTCTCACTTTGGCAATCTCTTTATCTTTGAGGGGGCAGTGTTAAGTGAAATACATGGAAACAAAAGAATGATTTTGTCAACTAACATTCTTCTTTAACAAAATGGATCTCTTCTGATAGAATAAGTCTACCTTATGAGAATAAATGTCTTCAAACCCAGTACAACACTGAAGCCCCCAACACCTCCACCTATTTGAGCATATCATTTCCCTCTTACACACACACACACACACACACACACACACACTTTTGCTGAATACCTTAATAAAACTATTGCTTTGTGCTAAATTGTCTTTCCTTTTTCTGGTAAAAAATTTAAACATGTACAAACAGAATCCAACTCTATGGACCCTTATCCTTTTTTTTTTTTTTCACCGGTACCGGGAACTGAACTCACGACCTTGCGCTTGCCAGTCAGGCGCTTTGCCGCTGAGCTAAATCCCCAGCCCCTGGACCCTTATCCTGATTCCATAATTATCAGTTCTTCAACTGTTCTTTCATCTCTGATTGGCCTCATCTCTAGCCTGAGGCCATTAGCTGTACACTGTTCTCTTCTCTGGACTTACTAGGGAGTTGAGAACTGGAAAAAGAAGAGAAAAGGAGGAAAGCGCTGCAGACAGGAATGGTTGTATAAGTGATCTACATCCTGCCAGAAATTGATGGTTGGTTTAAAGCTTCCAATAGAATTACTGATCCAATTCCATATTACTTTCTGCTTTAGTTACTACCATGAAGTAGTATGAACCTAACATATTACACATGGATGCTGAAGTTTTGACACTGCATGTGCTTGTAGGCATGGTTGTCATGTAGATTAGGAGAGGGATTGTGTACAGTGAGCTGAGCAAAAATGGCAGTTGTTATAGCCTGAACTCTGTTGAATAAGAATGTCACTGCTTTTTATTTTTTCAAGGGAGATAAGATGAAAACAGCTAAACTATCAAATTCCTACCAAATAGCACATAAAGGGTTCAGAAATGGACAGCTTTGGTGGATACCTTGAAGGTATGTAAATACCTACGAGGGATGACAGATATACAAATCCCCACACATTTATACATCTACATTTAATATATAAAATTCACATACATGTGTATGCGTTCATATATAGCTGCCTTATTGAAGTGGAGTTGGAAGTTTGCTCATAACCTGAGAAATGACCTCAAAGTTGCCATTCAATTATCTTAATCTTTATTGAGTATTTACCTTGATGCTTCAATACGGTACCAATAGGTGTCATCAATAGTCAAATCTGGATACTCTACCCGGCCAACTCCAGATCCAACATCCCATAGGAAACTTACTTTGCCTTTCCGCATCTCTATAGCCAGAAAGTCAGTCTGGTGCAAAGAAACATAAAAACAGTGGTTATCAGGTACAAAATTCTCTGAAGGAGGTGAAAGGAAAGGATAGCAGGATACACTTCAACAGTTGCCATTTATAGACATGTAAAAAACGGAATTCAGAATTCATTATTATTTTCAACAAGGACCCTGAGTTTTAGGGTATAGCTACAATATTTTAACCCAAAGGGATCCAGAGCTCCTCAAACAAATGGAACATATGAACTTATGCCAGGATTGGTCTGTTAAAAAGTCATTCACATGGAAGATCCACACCTGGGCAAAGTCAAATGGTTCAAGCAGAAAGAGGTAGAACTTTGTGGGTGAGGTTTTAGAAATAAGACTCAGTCGAATTTGAGGAGAAATTTAATATGACTTAGAAAAGTTTTCATCCACAATAAATTAGTATATGATTTGCTATTTTCATTTCATTAACATGAAAGCTCCTTGTAATGTTCTGTTGGAAAAGTTTTTAGAAGGCTTTATTCTTATTAGTCTTTCTTTTTAAACAGATAGATCTAAAAACATGATCTGAAGTAAATGTTAGTATACTGACAAATGAAAGCAAAGTGTCTGAATACTGCAGAGAATTTTCTTCCTGTTTGACACTTCAGAACTTTGTAAGATTCTAAGGTTTTCAAGTATAAAAGGCAGTTTGGAGACCATGTTACGGAGTCCATCCATTTCTCAATGCCAGTGTTATCATCTGACTCCACATGTATACAGTAATCTACAGAAAAGCTGGATATTAAACTTACAAATTTGGCACTCCCAAGGTAAAAAAGGAGGTTGTCAGCAACAGCTGTCTTGACGTTGATAATAATATTATTGTAGCTTCCTTTCTTGATTTCTGGCTTGTATGTTCGAATGCAGTCACCTCCCGAAGAGACAGATACTTTGATCTTTAAGAAAAACAAGGTGCAAAGATCTAAGACTGAATCTCTCAGAAAGGCTGAAGTAGCTCCGAAACACCCATAAAGCTATCATCATTTTTTCTTTGAAGTTAGTTTGTAATCACCAAACAGTGTCATTAAATACCCATATGCAGATCCCATTACACTCATTAAGGAAGGTGTAGAAGAGTGGCTCCCCACAAGAACTTTGACAATGAACTGTTGTTCAAAGTTCTGTTTTCTTACCATGCTGCTATCCTTTGAATCATGCAACTAGCAACTTCGTACCCTTCTCCTTTCAGAACTTAGGCACATTTTTCCAAATGAGATTTTACAAGAAGTGAATGGGAATGATCTTTGTTAAGGTTGCTTAATGAAACTTTGCAATTCAAATTTTAGTAATTTTGGTATCATTTAAAGTAGGGGATAAATGTAGGGAAGCCATTTTTCTTTCAGTTTTCAAGAGGAAATTACTGGCTCTCCCATTCTCTTAGAGCTGAAATATGCCAAGTAGATTTTGTTCTACACGGTCTAACAATAAGAATACTAATCACTCCTCTCAGAACATACATTTCAGAATAAATTATACTTTTTTATTAAGTTTCCAGGAAATAAGATAGAAATAATTTCCATTGGTTATCACTACTAATACATGTAAAAGTTCCTTTTTCGTTTGAACAGTACTTTAAAAATTACTATAAATTGCTAAGAAAGAGAGTCCTGTGTGAATCAAATGATGCCGTTCCTTCTAGCTTTAGCTTACACTGAAGAAGTCTTCCTACAATCACAAATTACACTATTGGATTTAATTTCCTTTAGGTGAGGTACAGAATTGCAGAAAAGGGCACTTGCAGGACAGCAATGTAGTTCTCTGGACTCAGAGAGAAGTTGTTACTTTGCTGACTGGTGGTACCCAAAGTAGGAAGCAGAGAGAGAAAACGCATAATCTCTTCTCCCCCTGGTTCCAATGCCTAGCTTCCAGAAGAATGTTGGTCCCCACACACAGTAAATTTATGTTTTCCCATTTCTTCTGATGTTTTATGTTGCTCATTTAGTTTGCACATTTGGAGGACAAGCAATTAGCATTATTGTTATCCCATAAAAGGCCTCTGCAAAGTCCAAGCAAGATAGCCTAGGATACCAACCCAGTCTCCATACTATGATGACACAAGGGGGTGTCTCAGAGAATTTCCTTAGGCTGTGAATGTATGGAGCACGGTGGGTTCTCACCACCTCCGGAGAAGGTGATGAGGGTGAAGGAAATTCTGAGGAGGTGCTAGGCATAAACTGATTGGATTCAAAAGGAAGAGGTAAGGAGGAATGTGGGGTGCCTACAGCCAGGTAAATGCATATACATTTGGAACCTCTGGAAATACAGCAGATCTGTGCAGCTCCTATGGATCCATGTAGTTCACATATTTGGGTGTTGTTGTCTGGCCTGAACTGCTGATCTAATTGCATCTCTATACAGAGGAAACTGTTTTGGAAAGAAATAGGAAGGGGCTATTATCCAAGAAGAAGGTCATCCCTCAGGCCCTGTGTGTGGTGACCCAGAGCTGGAATGACATAAGAGCCTACTTCCTTTTATTTATTTATTTATGTATGTATGTATGTATGTATGTATGTATGTATGTTTGGTACCGGGGATTGAACTCAGGACCTTGTGCTTGGCAGGCAGGCGCTTGTGCCGCGGAGCTATGTCCCTTGTCCAAGAACCTGCTTCTGAGGTTCTGAGGTTTCCTGTCCTTGTCCTCTCCCTCAGGGTTAGCCCTGCCTCCTGACTGAGGAATCCAGGACTGAGGAGGGGGTGGTCCCTGGACCCAGAGTGTTTGCCCTGTGTTCTAGGGAGGTTGCCTTCCTGGTAGTGTGGTTTTCAGTGAGGAAGTTGATTTTTTGCTACACGAATGATGGAAATTTCCTTCCATATATGGAGCTGAAAGTAGGCGAATCAAAAAGAATTACAGAAAACCTTAGGCAGGAAATATACGATTTTTACTCTGGATGTAATAGCACAGAAGATGTGCAATGGAAATTGATAATGCATGCTATTTGATAGAATATCAGTGGCTCAAAGAATCATTCAAGGGCTGTGAAATTCAAAGGATAAAGTAACAAAAGCAAACGACCATAGAGGAAAGGGCAGGTAGGGAGAACGTAGTCTTCACCTATTTTTAACGTTCAGAAACTGTGTAAGAGACAGTGAGTTTTTAGGGACTTGCAGCAAGTGATCCAAAACCATTACGACTGAAAACCTAGGTGCTGAGCAAGGTTAACACCTGAGGCAGGGCACAGGTGCCTCTGCTATCATAAGAGAAGCAAAGAGAACAAGAAATCAAGATCTGACTGCGATTCATGAACAGAACTACATAATAGGCTGACCCACCATGGCGAGACATATCTGAAACCATAGTGGGGCCCCATTAACAGTCAAAGTAGCTTGTTTTACCTTCACTTCCTAAATGCTTCATAGGAATGGCCGCTGGACCCTGTTGTGGCAGGTTTAGTCACAAACAAGTCATGTTTATTTAAAGAACACAATTGAACAGCACTCTAGAGAAGGAATGACTGGGTATGTGTGGGATGTGTGACTGCTTAGTCTCAGGATGAGTTTCAGACCTTGGTGTCAGAGCCCAGCCGAACGCTAGCAGATGACGTGATTTTGCATTGGAAAGGGGGTTGTCACACCGTAGAACAGAACACCAGCGCTGAAACTTGGGGAACGATGAAGCTAGTCTCGAGAATTCAGTCTAACAAAGTAGCTCTTTTAAAGCCAAGCAGATTTAATGCTACTAGGATTTACAATTAATCTACTTATGGTGCATTTTGCACATTTACAATTTTAGTCCCCTGAACAAAATGACATTGCCATATCCACTATGCCAGCAGTTAATCTTATAAAGACAATCTACTGCTCAATTCTTATGTACACAGGTAAAAAAAACCCTCTGTAGTTCTGTTTTCTGGTTTCGAATATAATCTCAGCACCTAAAAATGTGCAAGCAGCCCATTCTGTCGGCAATCAATTTGTAATTACTGATCTCTCCTCATAAATACTTTGTATTTTGATTCACAATTATAGATATGTCTTTTGAGCAATTTAAAACAGGTAAATCAAAATAAAATATCTGAGGATTTATTTAGGAAAGATCTTTAGGGCATATCCCTCTTACAAAAGGGGAGACATTTCTAAATGCAAACATCCTTTGTCTCTATCAGTTATTGTATTTCTAAGACAGCCCTTTAATGAGATTTCTAAAACAAATCACTAAGCATTTGATATTTCTAAGACATTTCTGACATAACATTATCCATCATATAATCATCATGAACTCAATTAATTATTACTGAGTAACCCATTTTATCTATTCGATTTTCATTGCAATTTTTGTGCAGTAACTAGGACACTCATTTTTTAAAAAGTATCAGCTACTCAATTTGAGAACCAAGAAGCCCAAAGAAAGCTACTTTAAAATAAATGTCTCTAATTTTTTACTTAAGAAATCTTTCTCAATTTTAATATCAAATATATGTTAGGGTCATAGCCAGACACTCAAGCCAAGTTGAAATTCTATGACATGTCAGAAAATAAAATCTTCAGCTGATACAAAAGTCATTTAAAAATTCCTGCTTGCATATTCCTAATATCTAACAAAAATAAAGCATTTTGTTGTAACTTCTGCTCACAAAGCAAATTAAAATTTCCTTGAAAGTATTATTTTATACCTTTTTTACATGTACTTTCTATTCTGAGACAGGTACATAATGTACTTACACATCACAAGGTTTTCTTTTTTATGAGGAAGGAGGAAAGTATTCAGAAGTGATGAATATTTGGGTAAATTTTTAGATTTCTTACATTGAAGAAATAATAAAAATGTCTAGATATCTCTCTTTTATTTGGTAATTAAATCAGAAACTGTGGCTAAATGTGTGATTCATAAAAGAAGATTTATTGTTACTTTTTCTTCAAAGATATCACTGTTAAAATGCTTATCTAAGTCATATGTCCAGTGCTTCCTTTTTGCTGCAGTTAGGGGCTCTTTCTAACCTTTCTCACATGCTGCAGACTCCTTCTAAATTGATATTCAAGAAGCACAGGTCTGAAATACTCTGATTAAAGTGTTCATGCTCAGACACTTTCACCAATGGGGTCCATCCCATATACAATTATTGCTAAGCAATGGATGGTGCTTAATTTATCACTTAAGCTCAGATAAAACCTGGCTTCCTTTGACATTTTCAATTTAATGTTTGCTTTTCTCAATACCTCATGACAAAAAAGTGGCCTTTCACAAACTGATTCTATGACTTCACTGTCTGCCTTTGTTCAAGCCATTCTTGGTCTCACAGTGCCCTCCCCTGTCCTCCATCCCTGCTCCTCACTACCCACTTCAAGGCCTTGCTCCAATTCTCCCCTTTGGGTTGGTTCTCCTCTGTCCCACTAGAAGTGATCTTTCATTTTAGAGCACTTCCTTCAGCCCATGCAATTGGTCAGTATTTCCGTATTATCTTAGAGTTGCTTGCATACATGTCTTATTTCCTCTACGACATGAAAAACTTTAGTCTATTTGAACACTAGAAAAATATACCAGGATTCCCAAGGACAGTAGCAAAATTTACCAGGATTCCCAATTTTAATACAACAAGGGTGATTAGTAGTCTCTTGAAATGCCATTTGTGATTTATAAAAAAAAAAAAAAAAATTCTTTCTTCCATCTGCAAGTAGCCTTAAGATGAAGGAAAAAAAGAATTTGAGATCATTCATTCAACAGGGTACACCACTATATACATGTGGGACATTCCCTCTAGAAATAATATTAACAGTTATGATCAGTTACTGATTGTGAAAACAAAAAAGGCTTACAGAATTGGCCTGCTTCCGGGCTTGATTTATCAGTTCTTTTATCTCAGAGATGTTTTTCTTTAGATTATCCTCGAGTTCCTTGATGGGTTTGAGTTTATCTAGAAGTCGATCAGCTTCTTTTTCTAGGTTCTTCACAGTGGTTTCTGCGTCTGTAACTGTCCAGGACATGTTTGTATGCACCCGCACACATACAGCACCCACAACACATACACAGACAGAAATTAGCACAGCAGTGTGTTTAACTCAGCAATTTCATCTTGCCCAGAGGATAAAGCAAGGCCATAGCGATTGAAGCAGAGTGTGAAATGTGAATATTTTAGTTGAGGCGCAAGCAGGCCAGAGGAGATGGTAGAGGAAGGCTTTCACTCTGTGATTAAGGTGAAAATTAGCATTGAAAGTAGAAGATATGACGAACTGAATTCAATGCTTAATTTCTAGCTGCAGCCAAAAAAGCTAACCTTTACAGAACAGAACTTTAGTCACCTAAGTAGGAAACTGGAAGTATCTTGAAAATGTCACCTAGTCTATCCCAGTCTGAACTGTATTTTAATTAAGGTTCTTGCACAAAATTGGTTTTCTTCTCTCACTGTCTTTCTTTACACATCTTACGGACAGAAGCTATCAAAATGTGGCTTGAAGAACATTTCTATGTTGAACAACCCTTAGACTGAAGGCCTATGTTGCACTTTCATTAAATCTTTCAAGCTACAGTTCAATTTCATTTTGAAGAATAGTTGATTGTCCTGGACTATATACGAGGTTAAATGATATTAAATCATGTTTTTGTAGGTTAATAAAACGTGGAATACTGGCAATTTCAAAAGTTTCAATCCTGAAAGAGTTGAAGGTTATCACTGATCCATGCATGTGCTTTTTGTGGGAGGGCAGACAACAATGGAAAACTACTCAACCGATCTCTGGAATGTTGGCGGTCTTATCCAACTACGTCACTGATTGTCTGATTAAATGTTTACTGTTCAACTTTCTGTCATTGTGACCCTGAGGAAAAAATGGACCTACTGAAGGTCCAAGATTCCCTGGCCTGTTAGATTATGACAGATCTGCTCTCTGGCTCAGGATGGAATCAAGAATTGAGTATATTTTTCCTGAAGTGCAGGTTATATAACATAAAGCCCTTGTTATATAATTTTTTAGATGACAGAACTAGAGTTAGCTCACTGCTTTGTAGCTTTGAAAGAAACCTTTTTCTCATTTGTTTGCTTCTTTTAAATCTCCATTGTTATTCTGATAGTCTACAAATTACTTCAAAATCGAGGAATATTGATTTGGATTTAGATTCATAAGAAAGAGAAAGAGTAGCTAAGCAAAGATTACTTAGGCACAGGTAAAAAGCAGGGCCTGCTAAGGCTCTCAAAAGCTTTTATATTAAATATTTCAAAAGGGAACATGGAGGTGTCCAGTCCTTCTCCGGTCCCTCCTAAGCCCTCTATCTTTGGAAGCAATTTGAGTAATATGGGACTTTCTTCTTAGAGGTGTGAAAAATAAGTCATGTTTGGTATTAAGTCTGATGCTTTCTTTTACAGTAGTTTTAGAAAACTTTCTCATTTTCTTCCCTAATTATTTACTGAGTATATTTCAAAATTACTTCTGAAAATTGATTTTGATAAGTTAGTACATTTCTAGATTATCTGGATCTTTTAGGATCTTAAATTCATTACCATAGAATCTTGTCATGCAGTCTTTCATGTGTTTAAATTTCCTCCCGTCTGCTGTTATATCTCCTTGAGAATTTAGCCTGTTACTTATTTTTCTTGCTTAAACCTGGCAATCATTTCACTTTTTAATTTATACTACTGAAGTTTTATCTCTTGGATTTATCAGTTCCGTTATTTTCTATCTTCTAATTGAGTAATTATTAATTTCTAAGAACTTTTTTGGTTAAGTCAGTTGTATCTTTCAGATATTTCACTAGTTTTTAATGGCACTATTAAAACTATATCAAATATATCCAAGTACTAAACTTATATAGAGGAACACCCCTTTACACATCTAACTTTCGAACAGCAACAGCGGAAAGAACCCCTGCGTGATGACTACAGCAGCACCAATCACAAGGCCATGCGAAGCTGAGCTTTTGGAATAGGCAGTGAATGTAGCGTACAAGTTACTTAACGACATATGAGTAAACGTATACGTACTGATCTCTGCACATAATTTCAAAAGGAAGTAAAACAAAAAGAAATTAGAAAATTCATGAGGAAATATTTTCTGTCAATATTACAAAATAGTGACTATCACAAAAATGCTACTTTTTTTACAACAGGTACAAATTAGAAATGTACCCCATTTTAAACAAACATTACTAAATAAAAGTACACAAAATATGTCACCTAGCAGGCTATTCTTCATATTGAATGAAATGTTCCAATAAAATAGAAAATTTAATTAATATTTGTAGATAATTATTTCTGTTACTGAGGATCAAGTAAAAAATGTTAGACATAGATTATTAAGAGGCCCTCACTGGTTGTGAGTCAATCTAAAATAGAATAAAATGATGTCTGAAATGACAAAATAAGTGAAATGGATAGCACTATCTACATAAAAAATGCATTTTCCCCTCACTTGGATTGGGAATGTTTTGATATGGCGTGTCTCAGAAGTTGCTCAGATGGCATCTTTGGAATTTGGAAGAAGATATATCTGGGTTTACATTAAAGTAAACCAAAGCCATTCATATGTCCTTTTTTTCCTTCCTGGGAGAACCGGGTGCTCTTCCTAGCTCTGAGTACGTATCAGAGGTCTGTGCATTTTCTTGCTCACAGAGGGGCTGGGGGCGTCCTCGCAGCCCACCGTCACAGTGGCACTAATGTCTGCAGTTACATCAACGAGGGCTTCTGTCTGTCATGTCCCACCCTTGGCATGCAAATAGAGGAGAGGGTGCTGCAGTCAGGCTCCCCTCCTGAGTCACACGGCATCTGGATTACATGTCACGTAATGTCAGTAACCGTGCTTGTGTCTTTCCACTGAACAACACTTTGATACAATATGGAAGTTGTACATGAAGAAGGTGTCTCTTGACAGTGAAAAGAACAAAAAAATCCAAGCAACTCCCTGGGGGAAACCATACACCAAAACAATGTCTCATCATTTGATAGGCAGAAAAAAAATACAGTAAAATAGCAATGTTTTTGGACTATATGACACCAACAATATGTCATCATATTAAATTCTTCCACATTTCTTAGTAAATTCTTATTAAATCAATGTAATTTGATATAGTAGGTAAGAGATGTGAAAGCAGTGTTTACAACTGTATACATTCTTTATTTTATTCCCTGGAAATGTTAAAGAGCTGGAATATAAATAATAAATTATCAAAATTTTCAAATGTTAATGCTTTCTAATTGATATTTTCATACTCTATTCTAACTGACCTGCTAATGGGTGTGTTCCTTACACTCTATGTCCCATGAAACTTGGCAATTTCTGAGCATACAGTTTACTGAGAACACTTATGGATTCAAAAGTGTTTGGCAACCTTATACCAAATATAATGCAGATACTGAGGATTCTTAATCTCCTCTCTGATGGACAAAATGTAGTTGAAAAGGCCTTGGGTGGAATTAGGGGACTCGGATTCTGACTGGGGAGTGGTAGGCAACTCAGTTCCAGTGTCTAAGGAAGGAAGGCAAGAGCAGACTACACCACTACCATCGTTTCCAGCTCCATCGTTTATGAGTCTAGGACACTTTTATGTTGTGAAGAAATAAGTGACCTCATCACAGTGACAAAGAAGAGCTTACTGTTCTTGGAAGGATCTTTTATTACCGCATTCGTTTCGGCCACACTGTCGGCTAGCTTATCATAATTTTTCTTCAGGCCATCAAGATTCCGGTGGAGATCTTTAATCTGGGCCAGTACATCTTTTGCTGTGTCATTGGCTTGTCTGGTTTTGTCCTTAACAGCTTGCAGTTTAGCTGCTGTGACTGTCAGCAGAAGAGGGCATGAGACACAAAACAAAGCGTTAGAGTTGGTGGTTTAATCTGTGCTTGTCACAGTGGGGCTGTGGCTGGCTGACCCCAGGGACACATTTACAGGTGGGAAAGGCTGAACTTTGTTTCATTCAGTTGTAGCAAATGAAGCAAATTTTTTAGCTAAATTAAATTTTCTCAGGGACCTTTGCTATGAATACCTGATGAGCTCTTAAAATAGCAAAGTGATTGTTCTGAATGTTCATTGTATAAGGGCATATTGTGATTTGTTGCTGAACATATTAAAGAGTGAAATTTATTTGCATGAGTTATATAGCTTCAACACAAGTAAGCTTAAGACTTAATCTGCATTTACTGGGGGGGCAGAGAATGTGTTTCAATTTTAGGGTAGAGAGACTTTTCCAGGAATGTGAGACTATGTGATTCATTTGCTCTCGGCATAGATTTTCTAGGTACGGTAAGTCCCTGACTTACAAACATTTGAGTAGTGAACTTTTACAGATACGAACAGACCTTGCATTAGGAACATTTGCAGATGCAAACAAAACATGGAAGTAGAGCTTACATCTCTACCTTATCATTTTAAGGTAGTTGTAAAAGTAAAAATAGTTTATTTAGAGTTGCATGGTACTATACCACCATTTTAAGGTAACCATAAAAGTAAAAATAGTTCATTTACAGGGTTTGTGTGTGTTGGTGTTTTATGTTTTACATTGTATATTTATTCCTAAGGTGTATAAAACTTTGTCTGACTTACAAATGAGTCATACTTATGAATCAGTCTGACTTATGAACATTGCCCTAGAATGGAATGTGTTCCTAAGTTGAGGACTTACTGTAGTCATTATCCAAGAGGTGGCATGAAAATCTAAAAAATTACTCAGTTGTTTTTTTTAAAAAAATTAAATTTCTATTAGTATATGTTTGCAGTATATAATGATTACATTGATTGTAAGTAATTAGAACACGTACCTAACCACATCTTCTTTCTCTCCCTCCCCCACAAACACCCCCCCTTCCAGTTAAACTGAACAAATACTACTTTAAACAACGGCCTTCTGTAGCCACTGTCCCATTTTTCTACCTGGAAAGTGGGGGTAATGATGCTACCCACCTCATGGGATTGGTATAACAATTGCATACATTTACACAAGCACACTAAGCAAGCACTCAACACATGCTTAGAACCCTTGTTACTGTATTATACTATTAAAATATAAAAATGATATTCCTAACAGAATATATACTTTTAGAAACTAGTGCCAAGCAAAAATTTGAAGAAGTTCTAATAGAAAGATAGTGTGGACCTGTTTCAACCATTAATGTTTTTGAAAGCTGGAATACCTAAGGAATTAGATTTTTCCAGGAGCTGTGTGGAATGGCAATAGGTTGTCACCTATTACTGTAGGTACTGCATTACGCTGTGACTTTGCAGTACTGCATCATGATGTCAGAGAGCAGTGTCTATATGGTTGTATCTTTTACATTAATAAATGAGTTGTTGGGCTGAAACTTGGAAGAGGATATAGTAAGATGTCTCTTCCTGCTTATAACATATCCCTTTGGATGACAGCTTAAGACAACAAAGGATAAGTAACATCAGAGTGTTAAATGTGGTTTAGTTTCTCATTCTCACAAAGAACAATTCATAAGTAAGAAAACTGATATCGAATTTTCTGTCAAGAATACAAGTATAATGTTAGAAAAATGGTAAAAGTTAAAAATGTTCTTAGAAAGTTCAGACGAGCTAACAGAAGGTGCAGGGTCCTGAATGCTTACCATTTGGAATGGCTGATAACTTCCCTAAAGTGTCATTCAAAGCTCGCAAGAGATCGGCATTTCTAGCCTCTGCATTTTCTAACCTGGTTGTCAAGTCATTCAGATGCTCCTCATTTTCTGTGAATAGAAAGCAAACAAACAAAAAGGATAAAAGCATTTTAGTCATCCGTGAGCTTATACTTTGATGTGGAATTTCAGGTTATTTTAACATAAAGGTAGTAAAAAGCGAGAAAATAATTCGTTTATTGTCATCTATAAATATTTCTGTTCATGGTATAAAATCCACGTGTGTGTGCCCACTTGACACTTCAATATGTCAATGACTATATATTTTTCTTGACCATCATTGTAGAAGAGCAGGAAAAAGAAAAGAAGACAGAGAGAGAATTCTGAACTTCTTGTGTTCTAGATCTGAGAGAGTACAGTAAATATTAATCATCCATCCATTTCATATTTGGTTTTATATGCAGGCCTATTAAGCCACTGTTACACTACACAAATAACCATGATTATATTACAGATGTAGCAATATAAGCAGATAATATTGCTTAAGGTGTGTGCTTTTAAATTTCAGGCCAGAGGCCCAATATTAAGGAAAAACAAAACATAAAATAGTCCAGCGAAGCATGGCTCTAAAACATCAATATGTCCATTTCAGTCACTATGATATCATTATTTTCAACTTTAGTCCCTCAAATATACTTTCAAAGTAACTGAATTTTCTACTCTGTCAATCACAATTCATCTTTCTTTTAATATTTCTGTTATTGTCACTCTGTACTGAAATAAAATCTTTGGATAGGTTTTCAAAGATACACTTTCTGAAACGAAGCCAGCCTGATTACAGCTGTGATGTCTATATGAGTTCCTTCAAAATAAGGAGCTGCACTTTTGACATTAATTTGGAAATCTTCATCAACTAAGGAAACAGAACAGTGCAAATTTCATTTTTAGCTCCTTGATTGGACTTTATTTTTTAAATAGTGAAGTCTTCAACTGCTCTGGCAAGGAAAATATTCATGGACAATGGAAAAAATCATTAATTTAAAGGGCATCAGTGGCCTAATACCATTTTCTGCATTCTGATAGCTAATACAGGCAGAACAATCATGCCAATTATTTCAAAAAGAGAATGACCTGAGGAATGTTTTCACTGCTGTTCTTCAGATTCTAAAGTAATAATTCTGACCTTCTGCTTTCTGCACTAGAAAATTATAATGTGAATATTTTGACCCTATTGTGATTTTTATGTTTCAGCCATTTGACTCAGATTTCTTTCTAGTTTATCCTTTCTTACATTGATCATTTATTTCTTAAGTAATTTTGGAAGTTCATGAACCAAGTCTAAACATTTTGTAACTCTGGTAATAGAATTAGGTAAATAAAAGTTGTGAACAGAGAAGAACTGCAGATTTTTAAATGGAAAGCAAAGGCAGAATAAAAGACAGTAGCATATAAGGAGACAGACCTCATATACATGGGAAGGGGAGATATGGGGTGGGAGCGGGGCAGGAGAGGAAGTGGTTTTAAGAGAAATGATGTGTTATGTACACGTACCAACTCCTCACAATGAAAATATCATTATGTACTACAAACATGTACTAAGAAAGAACTATAGCAAGGAAAATCCTAGAAAACTAAGTATTTCAAAGCTGGTTTTAAATGAAAAAAAAAAAAACAGAAACACTGCATATTGTCCAATTTGAATTGTAACATGACTGAAGAAGCAGAATTTTGTTAGGTAAAAAAGCCTAAACTAATTCTTTCCTCATCATTTTAGGAGAAGGAGAAGATGATCCAATTTACAATACTTAGCTTCACTTAATAGGATTTCTTCTCTTAATTTTTGCTGAAAAAGAAATACTCTCTGTCATTCAGTCTTCTCTTTAAAGGTCATACTCACCAAGCCTCAGAGGCTACACATACATTCTTCTTTGGAACTGGCTTTCTCTTTCTCATTCTCTCCTCATATAGTAAAAGACTAAAGTCCAAGAATGAGTTTGGAACAGACAGGACTTAGAGTGAGAGAGTGAATGAAGCAAAGAAGCAAGGATAGGCACTGAGCATGTTTGACAGCCTAATTTCCCTTTGTTGGGTGCTTACTATACCCCATGAGATAGTCCCATCCAGAATGAAAATCACGAGACAGAGTTGGAAGTCACTTCCACTAATCACAAGCATTTACTTGTGTTTACCATAATCCTGGCCTGGTACTAACTCTGAATAGCAGTTTAGTAAATTAAAACTGTGACAGTGAACTGTGCTCTGTAAGAGTTCAAAAAAATGTTACACAATATTTATTTGATCATTAATCATTTCTTCTCTAAAAATGCTAGTCATTAAAAAGTAATGTGTTGCAGTGAATGATTATAGGATTTAGAATTGGAAGACGGAGTTTCAAATGTCATCTTCATCCCTTTTATCTGTTTAAAATGAAAATAACATCTTCCTTGCCATGACTGACCTAAGAAACAAATTGAGGGTGTATGGGAAAGTGCTGGATTTGCCATAGGTAGTTAGTAAAAAGCTACATATTCACATTGGTTTGATTATTGCCCTGGGGTATGTTAACACTTTTTAATGGTATTTATGATTTTTTTCTTCTTAATTTAAACTGCTTGATCCAGAACCTGTTTATTTCTCTTTTATACTTCCTAAGTGCATGTATGAGTATACATATATATGTATATAAATACATACATCTGTAAATCCATTTATATACATATACATACCTTGATATACATATATGCATATACACACATATATATATACGCATATATGTATATTCCAATTTTCAACTAAGTATCAGGCTGCTTTTTCATGGATTTTAATGGAAATGTTCAAATTCCATCTAGTTAAGTTCCTCAAATGCAATTTTTATATTTTATTCATATTAAAGGGGTATAAATATTCCAAGAGAATCTCCCAGCCATAAGGATAAAATTCATAGAACTGCTATTCATTCTGAAGGGATCTGGTTCAATGGAGTCTATGCTAAATTGGTCAATATTTAATACTGGCAATGAACGTTTCCACTTTCATTTTTGCCTACTTGTAAACATTCATGATCACTTTGGTTTTTCTTCTTTTCTAAATACAAGAAAATCCTCTTGGCAAGATTTCCTCGTAGAAAAAAACTGGTCAGCCCATAAAACGTTTATTTCACATAGTGCTGCTCCATCTTGTGTTCCACAGACTCTGTCTGAATGAGGTTAGGCTTGGCTGAGTCTACCTCACGTTCTGAAAGAAAAAGCCTGGGATAGGTCTGAGATCAGTAGGAGGTAGTGTAGAAACCTTGAATTTGACTTTCTGGTAGTGATTCCTCAGACTCTTGAGTATTCACCCCCTCATTCTTTTATCCAACTTTTGTCAGAAGCATGAATGTTAACATGTCACCTTCTGCAATATGTAGTAATCTAGAGTTTTGTCCAGCAGTGGTTAAATACATAATCTTTAAAGTCAGAAAACCTTGTGCAAAAACGTGACTCCATTGTATATCTGCTGTGGGTTGTGAAGTCATTTGTTTAACTTTTCTATATCAAACTGTTCTCATCCTAGAAAAAAAAAGGTAATGACCAAATGCTGAACTTGACATGGGGATATGCTGAGTAAAAATATACAGTATCTTACACAAATTATTTAGCATTCCCTTCCTCCTATGTGGGGCAGAATTTATGGGATTCTCTCCATGAAAATCTAGATTTGTTTCAGTTACCGTTCAGTAATTGCAGCGTCAGAGCCAAGGTGACTTGCTAACTCCAGGAGAAGTTTGTTTTTATTTTTAAATTGTTTTTTAATTAATTCATTTTAAAAATAAGGGAAGGAAAACATATTAACAAACAGACATCCGTTTACAAAATAGCATAAGAACAATACAAACAATACAGAGTTACAGACAAAGTGGTAGGAAATTAATAATAGTTGTTGTATTACGTATTGATATCTTCAAAGTTATTTCTTAGGAAAACAAATACAGACATGCAAAATTGACCAAACAAGTAATTGTTAACTGTTCCTTTCAGTAAAACAATAGAAGACAGTAGCACAACTAAGTTCAGCTATCCTGTATATACATGCATACATAATTGCCCCTTCTTTCCCTTCTCTTTTCCCACATCCCAGGTGTCCTTTACTTTTGAGCATTTTCCTTTTGTTTCACAATGTCTATCATACCTCCTACTTTTTATTCACTCTTTCAAGTTCTTACACTGGAGAGACAATACATTGCTTACAAATGCAGGTCTGATTTATTTCACTTACGAGTATGGGCTCTAGTTGTAATCATCTACCTATAAAAGCCTTGAGTTTATCTTTCTTTATAGCTGAATAATATTCCATTATATAAATGTACCACAATATTTTTATCCAGTCCTTGGTGGATGAACATTTGGGTTGCTTCCACATTTTAGCAATTACAAATTGTGCTGCTAGGAACATGGGTGCACATGTATCACTGTTATATGATATTTTCAGATCTTCTGGGAAAATACCCAGAAGGGGAATAGCTAGGTTGAGTTGGACTTCTAGCCCTAGTTTGCTGAGGAATCTCCAAACTGATTTCCACAGTGGTTTCACCAGTCTGCATTCCCACCAGCAGTGGAGAAGTATTCCAATTTCTCCACAGCCTCGCCAG